ATATATCGTCAATCACAACCAAATTATACCAAAATGGTTGCCGGAAGCACAAGCTGTGCTTGCATTTCTGTCACTCTAGACTCTGTACACACACCAGTCTAGTGCCCAGTTCTATGTTTATGCACAAACAGCCTTTGGCATATCAACCACACACTTCTTGGAAAATTCAGGCAGAAAATATACACTTTATACATTTAATGTGAAGTTCTGCATACACCTACTGTATGCCATAAATCTGAAATCCATTGATCACAAGGGGATTTTCCTGTGGTTTTTTACAACTGCTAATCCCCTGGCTGGAGATCCAACACTGGTTTGTGTCTCAGTATTGACTTTTGTTGTTCCCCTCGTTTGGCTGTTCCACCGACTGCTTTTAAGTGGATGTCGTATAACTAGCTGACATTGAAGTTTTCATGGAAACAACATGCATGGATGTTTTTGTTTTTTATGGTGGCTGCCATATATTCAGTGCGATTATGGAGTTTTCCCCGGCTAATGATCGCATGGTTGTAGCCTGGTTGAAAGATGCAAGAATCGATTCTCAGGAATTCTTTAGCAGTAAAGCACCCAATATGTGTATGTAAAGACAAATGTGCTGAATTAGCAAAAGTAGAAGTTGAAATATGTGCAGTTTAATTGCGTCTTGCTAATTAAATCATCTTTATTTGACATTCAAGCAATTCAATAAATTGCGTCTTGTGATCATTACACAACATGCTTGTTGGTTCAGTAGTCTAAACCTTTTGACATTTATTGGTATTTATGGGTATTCAATATACCTGTATGACAGGTTATTATGTAACCAAATTACAGAATTAGATTATGATTGTATACGCTGTAAAGTGATGTTGAATATACTGTATGTGGTTTTAGTAGGGTACTTATAATTGATGTTGCTTGAATTGTCGTATTATTATACGGTTGTTCATACCAGGAGGACGGTGAAAGGTTTCCGTTCTTGTAAAATCCATTTGAATATTGGAGAAAGTTTTAAGTGCAGTGATCAATCACATGTCATATAGAATATGTCTCTCACTGGAATTGATTTCGTCACTCGTTTTTTCACCTGGAGAACGACGTACATAGCTGTGGGATACTTGTATGTGTTACACCTGTGGTGTCAATTTGAAATCCACCCTTACTAGTGTGATGGCTGTGGATCCTTGGAGGGGAATGAAAATCTAAGCATTCCATAATTGATTTTTGTCATAATTCACTGGCGGCCCGGGCTAGCTACACCAGATATGCTTGATTGAGTGCATCTCGCATGCACTGTAAATTATGTAGGTTAATTATATTTACCTATTATAATATACAATGCAGGTGTATTTACCTGTGCTATAGCACACGCCTATATGCGGGCGTATACCAATAAAGGTGCAGGCGTATAGGTATTTGGTATTTTTTTGATACAGTATATTAATTGACTGGAGGTTTGGATGTGGGGATCTCAAGGCTGACGAGGATGCATATTTGATGTGGCGGTTGTGCCTTCACAATCGGAAACCCTATGCATATTGACACTCGATTCTGGTTGGAAAAGAGCAACTGAGAAAATTATAAAAGGAAACACAATTGATACTGATTGCCCAATGCAGACTTTACAAGTGTGATGAGTGATAGTGGGTTTGAACTGGTCTGCCTTGGCGTCCGAGGATTACATAGCTATTTTGGAAGTGAAGTTTAGGCCATTATCCCCGTTCCTGATGTCAGGGGTGGAAATACAACTGCAGAGTCTTGTTAATCACAGGATCAGCCTGCAGCACTCGGGTAAGTACTGGCTGTTGTGTCTTCCGTCAGGCAGACCATTTAGGATGACAGATAAGGTTGTGAAATGTTGGTATTATTGGTATATGACTTCCTACATATTGTATGTTAATGACTTTGGTTATTGGGGAATATGTTATTTTGTTTCAAGTCAAAAATAAAACTTCAGTATTTGAGGACAAAATTTTCCCTTTAGAATCTATTTAGACGATTCTGATACAAATTGGATGGAAGTTCTAATTTTTCAGACCTATACCTACAGATGTTGAAAGTAGAATGTGGTGTAAAGATCAACATTTTAAGTATTAATTCACACAAAAAAACACCCAACTATCACAGACTGCACGGTAAAAAGGGCAGAATTCCTATGCAAAAATGTATGTCAACCAATCGTTAACTATTTTTGTTCAGCTCATAAAGCATGACTTAAAGTCTGAACTCTCCAGCGATAAATCCCAGATTTATCAAACGTCACAATAAATTGTAATACAGGAAGGATTTGTGAAAGGATGAAACAAAACGTCACTCGGAAACCAATCAATTTCCTGATGTGGCACTTGAAATTGTTTATTTCAGATTGAATAATTGTTAATTCCAAAATTGATAGTCATTCTGATGATGTTTAGTTAAAAAATTGTCGTCATATATATGTGTGTGACATTCGGTTAAAAGTTTGGACCTATCAAACGATACAACCAAAACAACCATTGGCCAATATACAATCAGCTTTATGCAGTAGTATTGTAGAGTAATTCTCGGGTAGAGTATAGAACACCTAGGTAAGATAAGTCGGACTTACTGGCTGCACAAGTCTGATATAACTTTGTATTTATTGCCTGTCATTTTCATTTACTGCAAGAGTAATACACCGGAATAAAAACACTAATAACGTCGGGGCAGAGTCAAAAGATGGGGGCTTGCGACAAAAAAAGATACAGATCTACTATATTAATCAAGGTTTTGCATCAAACTACAGAATTCACTGGATACTAATGAAATTGTTTACTGAAATGTTTCAGTAGAGGTGATTTTACTATGTAAGTTTATTTATTTACTATGAGCGAGGAAAGACAAAAGATATTTTAATTTTGGCCGAAAGCTCATGATCATGAATGTTACAATCTGTTCAAAATGGTAGTGCATGACTATATCAACTCTCATCTGTAAGTCTATAGTAAATCATACCTGTATATAGATTGATATGGAAATCATGTGCAGTCTTTTTAAGTCACATTACCGTTGTCACATATTGATCTTATGTGACTTTTAACCATTTCATTAGGCCACAGTTGCCAAGTTAAGGCGTCTGACATTCTGCTACCACTAGCCCTCAACCACTGAGTCCCGGGTTCGAGACCTACATTGACCAGTCGCCAGGTACTGGCTGTAGGTCAACAGTTTTTCCCTGGGAACTCAGGTTTCCCTCCACCACCAAAACCTGACACGTCCTTAAATGACCATGGCTGTTAATAGGACGTAAAACACAAACAAACAAACAAACAAATTGACCATTTCAACAAAGTATGATTTATTTGAGACATATTATATATATATATATATAGTGGGACTGGACTCACTCCCGCCTGCCGGCCGGGCGGGGCTGAGTAACTCCCAATGACCAGTAACCAGATAGCTAAGGTTTGTCTGTCTCTAGTTCAGAGGTCCTGTATTTGAATCTCATTCTGGCCTGGTTCCACTTTCTCTTTCCTGTAATTACAGTGGTACAAGTGACCAGTCCTTGTTTCAAGTAATATGATAAGCTTGTGCATTGGAAAGGGGATACCCTAACCTAGGTTATAAGTAGTGCCTTCTACAGTAAAACAAAGACTTAAAAAACAGGTGGAAGGTGTGGGTAGCGGCACTGGGCCAGGTGACTGCTGGTGACCAGATAACTCAATTAATTTAATTGTTACAGCATTTGGCCCATTACATTTTCCATCTCCTGTTACATAAGTATATGTAAACACAGCTATTTATTGTCATTTTGCTGTTTTCCCATCAGTGTAATGTGCACTATCAATTCATTGTTGAAGCCAGACTACCACCACCACCACTAAGTGGTGATTGCTCCAACCAGGGACTTTCCTCACCACCAGAAGGGGACTGCCCTGGGCCCCACCACCAGGGACTCGTGCCCTCACCACTAGATAAGGACTGCCCTGGGCTCCACCACCACGGACTCGTGCCCTCACCACTAGACAAGGACTGTCCTGGACCCTACCACCAGGGACTCATGCCCTCACCACTAGACAAGGACTGCCCTGGGCCCCACCACCAGGGACTCATGCCCTCACCACTAGACAAGGACTGCCCTGGGCCCCACCACCAGGGACTCATGCCCTCACCACTAGACAAGGACTGCCCTGGGCCCCACCACCAGGGACTCATGCCCTCACCACTAGACAAGGACTGCCCTGGGCCCCACCACCAGGGACTCATGCCCTTATCACCAGACAGGGACTGACCTGGGCCCCACCACCAAGGACTCATGCCCTCATCACCAGACAGGGACTGCCCTGGGCCCCACCACCAGGGACTTATGTCCTCATTACCTAACAGGGACTAACCTGGGCCCCACCACCCGGGGCAGAACTGCCCTCCCCACCAGGTGGAAACTGTATACCCTCACCATCATAGGGGAACAGTATCTACAAAGGCTTGGCCAGATCTACCCTTACTAGGACTGACCCAACCACAAGGCAATGACTTAACCTGTGTGAGATGCCCCTATTTCTAAGTCCCTGGGGTCATCTTTGGGGAAATGTGATTACCCTTAAATTACTTTGCTGTAGTGGACAGTGTGAGTGGATAGATTTGATGCGTACTCACATGTGGTGCGTGTAGTGGTAATTCAGTAGGCACAATACAGGTATTGACTATAACTTAATTCCAGCTTTATATTCACGCACAGAGACACAGTGATGCAAGCTGTACATTGATGAGATCCTATCATCTTAACATGTTGATATTTAATATTTATTTAAACGTAGAAAGAATAGGTTATTTATTTTTTATACAAAATAATCATTTGTAGCGCACACAAGTATAAATACTTAATGTGTTGTAGGTGGTATAAAATAAATGTATTATTTATTGTAAACTCCCTGTACAACAAGAATAAAAATAGAATATGCTGCCTTGGTGATGTGTGCTTGGCCTTTGTGATAGGCAGTTTTGTGTTCCCAGGTTGATGAGAGATGCTGACAGCCTCCCGGCCTTTCACAAGGTGTCCTCTGAATGTCAATCACAGCATTAGTACAATTTGTAGTACAAGCTATCGTTAATGTTTACGTTTGGTCGTTAGCATTAACAATTTTCATCATCATCTCCGATATTGATTTATCGTGTGCAGAGCCATTGGCAGAGTCCATGCATTATTTTGCAAAAAAAAGACGATCATATTGACAAGGAGATAATAAAAAAATTACGCGCAGTATGTTGGGATGAATCCACCATATGGTTGGATGTATTGTAGTCCGTCTGTGTGATCAGTGATAGCCAGCCTCACTGTGACCAACACCGCATATGGAAGTGACATTTCTACGATTATGATCATGTAAATAACCCGGCCAGAATTATCACAGGTTCAAGTGCTAAACACAGGGACAAGTCTTACAGAAAAACAACAGTGCTGCAAATTGCCAAAGGGAATATGTTGGGTCTGCAACTGAATTAAATCCTGGAGCTCCATGAATCGGCATTGTACCCAAGGATTATATTGCCTATTTTACTACAGGGCTTGCATTTTTCATGGGAACTGCTGCATCGTAATGCTTCACGTGTAAATGAATTGAATTGAAAAGAAGGGTTGTTTTTGCGTCGGAGACGTTGTTAGTGTGAGCTGTGTGTATGTGGGATATTACCCTGTGTTATGGTTGGTGATATACTGGGGACATGACATCAGCCCAGAAACCTTCTCAACGACAAGCTCCAGGTAAACTGTTGTGGTAGTGGAAAAAAGTGCGACACTGAGTCTCATGTCTGTGGTTTGTGCCATATGTTCACACACCGTAGGGTAGATTTATACTTTTGTGCTGTTTATATGAATAACTACATGAACAGCAGTAAAAAAAATACTTTTCTTTTTTTGTGATTTTCATGTTAAAAACTGTTGTCAGGTTTAATATTTATTTGCATGTACGAATGTAATTATTGCTATAATTTATGGTTAATACATGTCTTGCTTCAATTAAAACATTGAGCCAAGACACAGGGCAACAATATACCATGTACATGTACTGTAGCATTATATGAAAGTATCAAGGTATATCTAGTCTTTTCTCAAGGTTTAAAAAATATGGGGGCATTGATGGTGTGATATAACCAGAATATGGAAATTTGTAGAGGGATCAGTACACAATCACCCCTTCCTGGAGAAACACTGTAAACCACAGTGTCACAGTATACCATGTACTGATATAGCTGTAGTGTCTTATAGTACAGTGTCACAGTATACCATGTACTGATATAGCTGTAGTGTCTTATAGTACAGTGTCACAGTATACCATGTACTGATATAGCTGTAGTGTCTTATAGTACAGTGTCACAGTATACCATGTACTGATATAGCTGTAGTGTCTTATAGTACAGTGTCACAGTATACCATGTACTGATATAGCTGTAGTGTCTTATAGTACAGTGTCACAGTATACCATGTACTGATATAGCTGTAGTGTCTTATAGTACAGTGTCACAGTATACCATGTACTGATATAGCTGTAGTGTCTTATAGTACAGTGTCACAGTATACCATGTACTGATATAGCTGTAGTGTCTTATAGTACAGTGTCACAGTATACCATGTACTGATATAGCTGTAGTGTCTTATAGTACAGTGTCACAGTATACCATGTACTGATATAGCTGTAGTGTCTTATAGTACAGTGTCACAGTATACCATGTACTGATATAGCTGTAGTGTCTTATAGTACAGTGTCACAGTATACCATGTACTGATATAGCTGTAGTGTCTTATAGTACAGTGTCACAGTATACCATGTACTGATATAGCTGTAGTGTTATAGTACAGTGTCACAGTATACCATGTACTGATATAGCTGTAGTGTTATAGTACAGTGTCACAGTATACCATGTACTGATATAGCTGTAGTGTTATAGTACAGTGTCACAGTATACCATGTACTGATATAGCTGTAGTGTTATAGTACAGTGTCACAGTATACCATGTACTGATATAGCTGTAGTGTTATAGTACAGTGTCACAGTATACCATGTACTGATATAGCTGTAGTGTTATAGTACAGTGTCACAGTATACCATGTACTGATATAGCTGTAGTGTTATAGTACAGTGTCACAGTATACCATGTACTGATATAGCTGTAGTGTTATAGTACAGTGTCACAGTATACCATGTACTGATATAGCTGTAGTGTTATAGTACAGTGTCACAGTATACCATGTACTGATATAGCTGTAGTGTTATAGTACAGTGTCACAGTATACCATGTACTGATATAGCTGTAGTGTTATAGTACAGTGTCACAGTATACCATGTACTGATATAGCTGTAGTGTTATAGTACAGTGTCACAGTATACCATGTACTGATATAGCTGTAGTGTTATAGTACAGTGTCACAGTATACCATGTACTGATATAGCTGTAGTGTTATAGTACAGTGTCACAGTATACCATGTACTGATATAGCTGTAGTGTTATAGTACAGTGTCACAGTATACCATGTACTGATATAGCTGTAGTGTTATAGTACAGTGTCACAGTATACCATGTACTGATATAGCTGTAGTGTTATAGTACAGTGTCACAGTATACCATGTACTGATATAGCTGTAGTGTTATAGTACAGTGTCACAGTATACCATGTACTGATATAGCTGTAGTGTTATAGTACAGTGTCACAGTATACCATGTACTGATATAGCTGTAGTGTTATAGTACAGTGTCACAGTATACCATGTACTGATATAGCTGTAGTGTTATAGTACAGTGTCACAGTATACCATGTACTGATATAGCTGTAGTGTTATAGTACAGTGTCACAGTATACCATGTACTGATATAGCTGTAGTGTTATAGTACAGTGTCACAGTATACCATGTACTGATATAGCTGTAGTGTTATAGTACAGTGTCACAGTATACCATGTACTGATATAGCTGTAGTGTTATAGTACAGTGTCACAGTATACCATGTACTGATATAGCTGTAGTGTTATAGTACAGTGTCACAGTATACCATGTACTGATATAGCTGTAGTGTTATAGTACAGTGTCACAGTATACCATGTACTGATATAGCTGTAGTGTTATAGTACAGTGTCACAGTATACCATGTACTGATATAGCTGTAGTGTTATAGTACAGTGTCACAGTATACCATGTACTGATATAGCTGTAGTGTTATAGTACAGTGTCACAGTATACCATGTACTGATATAGCTGTAGTGTTATAGTACAGTGTCACAGTATACCATGTACTGATATAGCTGTAGTGTTATAGTACAGTGTCACAGTATACCATGTACTGATATAGCTGTAGTGTTATAGTACAGTGTCACAGTATACCATGTACTGATATAGCTGTAGTGTTATAGTACAGTGTCACAGTATACCATGTACTGATATAGCTGTAGTGTCTTATAGTACAGTATCACATTATACCATGTACTGATATAGCTGTAGTGTCTTATAGTACAGTATCACAGTATACCATGTACTGATACAGCTGTAGTGTCTTATAGTTCAGTGTCACAGTATACCCTGTACTGATATAGCTGTAGTGTTATAGTACAGTGTCACAGTATACCATGTACTGATACAGCTGTAGTGTCTTATAGTTCAGTGTCACAGTATACCCTGTAGCTGTAGTGTTATAGTACAGTGTCACAGTATACCATGTACTAATATAGCTGTAGTGTCTGATAGTACAGTGTCACAGTATACCGTGTACTGATATAGCTGTAGTGTCTTATAGTACAGTGTCACAGTATACCATGTACAGATATAGCTGCAGTGTCTTATAGTACAGTGTCACAGTATACCATGTACTGATATAGCTGTGTTATATAATACATTAATTGTCATATTAAACAGTTTAGGTGTTCCTTTTCATCATTTTAATCATGATATTTGAATTTTGAATTATAATGTTTGTTTAGTTATGTAAGGTTTTCGTTTGGTAAGGTTTATCTGTTGCAATTAAATGAGAGTATATAAGGTATAATTCATTGACAATCTGATTAGAATTTCTGTCACCAAGCCAGAATAATTACATACATGACATTTCAGGTTGTGTATTGACTGAATGGGAAGTCCTTATATCATCAATACACAAGTTACAAGTAAACGTAAATGCATTTTATCTTACGTCAACATCTAAAGGTCATGTTCGGTTTGTCTGAAGGTCAAACCTCTATATGTTATAAAACAGAGCATAAGGAGCGGGGGCACTGGTCGGGATTAGTGAGGGGTTGTCATGACGTTGATGTATCAGCTTCTCTGAAGGCATTCATATAAAAGTGATTACAGTAATGGCTGTCATGGAAACGGTGAAGTATTGTTGTCAGTATATAGAGGCAAAGTTATCATTTAAATACAGAAATGTCAGCAGTTCTAGGTGATGAACAAGACAAGGTGCTTCCTGTGTAAGTGTTATTAGGTAACATCAGTAACTGAGGACAAATCAGGAACACACTACAAATCCTCATCTGGGTCCATATTCTTGAAACCGTTCTCATGCTCAAACTCTGTTTCTGTGCTCAAGTGAACTTTTTTATTCCCGTGAACAAGTCATAAAAATTCAATTTTTTTTTTTATTTTTTTTTTAATAATGTTCGAATGACTAAAAGCTGAAAACTGTTTCTAATGTTTACACTTGACTTTTTACCATGGTATATGATTTTTAAGCCAGTTACAAGAAAGTTGCCTTGAGCACAAAATCCATGCATGAGCATGAGTACAGTTTCATGAATACAGGGCCTGATCTTTACCTCACAGTAATTTACAGTAGCTATATAGCCAATGTACCCTTATCTAGCTTATATATATAACAATTATGACTTCTATCCTCAATAATTAATTCAAGATTATACTAGAACTGAATCATCAAAGTCGGTTTCATTGCTGACTCATGTTGCCCGTGTACCTGGTGAACTTTATGAGAAAATACCTGGTGTTGTTTCCTCCTGCAGCGGTATATCATTGTACACAGTACGGTCAATGTATTAACACACAGGTGTGTATTTGTTACACCAGCATGCTTAGGTTAGATCACTGGTATGAATTGATGATGATGATGTACAAGGAAAAGACTTCACAATAATACATTGGCTGGATTGATCAATAACTTATTTTAGGTATAAAAAGGAACACCTGTGTTCTGCGTTACATCTGTTGAACGTGGGAACAGCCGATCTCGTTTGTATGTCTGATATAGGTCAAAATAGTGATGTGTTAATTTCACAATTTTGAAGTTTACCGGTACCATCATAAAAGTATGCTTGAGAAAAAATAATATTTTTGAAAAAATCTGTAAAGCTGCTAATTTTTCTCAGAATATCAATATCCAAATCCAATCTAATAAGAATTTTAGTTGCCCTTGCAATCGACACCATGAGAGGAATGTGAACTATTATGGTTACCTCTGGAGTAGACATCCAGTTGACCTTGGAGTTGATGTCTAGTTGACCTTGGAGTTGATGTCTAGTTGACCTTGGAGTTAATGTCTAGTTGACCTTGGAGTTGATGTCTAGTTGGCCTTGGAGTATGCCTCTAGTTGACCTTGGAGTATGCCTCTAATTGACCTTAGAGCAGAAGTCCTTTTCACCGTTGAGTAGACATATTTACATCTGCATTTAGCAAGATTTATAGTATCTATCAACATTTACGTTGTATTTGGTGTATGATATGGTTACCTGTTTCTGTTACATTGTAGTTTTGAAGATGTATTTCCTCAGACTAGCTGATGTGTTGTCACCAGAATATAACTTTTGTGTTGTTTACAGAGTACCACCAAATGCAGGATGGGATGGGATCTGAGACTACAGAAGAGGTGGAGCCCTCCAAACAGCGAGTTATCTACATTAATGCTCCCCAGCCTGTCAAATACTGCTACAACAAGATTAGGTAGGTCATTATATTCAACACCTGGGGTATTGTAAATCACTCTCAACCCCTCCGTATTCCTCCTTATCCTCAAACCATACTCTGCTCAGCCTTTCCTCAAACTATAATCTGTCCAACCTCAAAAAAAAAAGTCAGTATCCCTCCTTATCCTCAACCTACAACCTGCTCAGCCTCAAGGGAATCTGTTCCAACCTTTCAGTATCCCCAATATCTCCAATCCATAACCTGCTCAGCCTCAAGGGAATCTGTCCCAACCTTTCACTATCCCGATATCCTCACCCTATAACCTACACAGCCTTAAGGGAATCTGTCCCAACCTCTCAGTATCCCGATATCCTCATCCTATAACCTGCTCAGCCTAAAGGGAATCTGTCTCAACCTCTCAGTATCCCGATATCCTCATCCTATAACCTGTTCAGCCTAAATGGAGTCTGTCCCAACCTCTCAGTATCCCTGTTATCCTCAACCTATAACCTGCTCAGCCTAAATGGAGTCTGTCCCAACCTCTCAGTATCCCTGTTATCTCCAATCCATAACCTGCTCAGCCTAAAGGGAGTCTGTCTCAACCTCTCAGTATCCCTGTTATCTCCAATCCATAACCTGCTCAGCCTAAAGGGAGTCTGTCTCACCCCCTCAGTATCCCTGTTATCCTCAATCTATAACCTGCTCAGCCTAAAGGGAATCTGTCTCAACCTCTCAGTATCCCTGGTATCTCCAATCTATAACCTGCTCAGCCTAAAGGGAGTCTGTCTCAACCTCTCAGTATCCCTTTTATCCTCAATCTTTAACCTGCTCAGCCTAAAGGTAGTCTGTCTCAACCTCTCAGTATCCCTGTTATCCTCACCCTATAACCTGCCCAGCCTAAAGGGAGTCTGTCTCAACCTCCAAGTATCCCTGTTATCCTCAACCTATAACCTGCTCAGCCTAAACGGAGTCTGTCCCAACCTTTCAGTATCCCTTTTATCCTCAATCTATAACCTGCTCAGCCTAAAGGGAGTCTGTCTCAACCTCTCAGTATCCCTTTTATCTTCAATCTATAAGCTGCTCAGCCTAAACGGAGTCTGTCCCAACCTCTCAGTATCCCTGTTATCCTCAATCTATAACCTGCTCAGCCTAAAGGTAGTCTGTCTCAGCCTCTCAGTATCCCTTTTATCCTCAATCTATAACCTGCTCAGCCTAAAAGGAGTCTGTCTAAACCTCTCAGTTTTCACTAATATTCTCAATCTATTACCTGCTCAGCCTAAAGGGAGTCTGTCTCAACCTCTCAGTATCCCTGTTATCCTCAATCTATAACCTGCTCAGCCTAAAAAGAGCTCCTTCCAAGTTACCCTGCAGCAGGATTATCAACAAGACTTGTTCCCTTTCCCTATATGAATCTCGCCCTTAAAATCTCATCACCGTTAGCCCTTAACTTCTCGATCCTTATTGAAGTCCTTTCATCGCCCTCCTCAGTTATACCTGATACAAATCCATTCTTTTTCCCTTCCGTGTTGTAGCTACATATGAATAATGAAAGCTCTAGTTTGAGTGATTTGTATGATTTTGTGTAACAGAGTGTTGTGATTTCTCTTTTACGTAGCACGGCCAAATACAGCTTTTTGTCCTTCCTGCCAAAGTTCCTGTTTGAGCAGTTCAGAAAGTATGCCAACATCTTCTTCCTGTTCATCTCATTACTTCAGGCAAGTCTTTCTGTCCAGTCTTCGTTAGAAACTTGTTAATACCATAAATCAGGATATTTAGGCGTCTTGGCATTTATTCACAAAACAAGATGAGATAGTTTTATAATGCATCTATTTTGGTGTATTTATTTTGTTCTATCAGCTCAAGTTTTAGTTTTAATGAAGCATCATCAATGAAAGTTTTATTTTTATTTTGAAGCCAATGTAAACAGCAGGTGGCAAGCATTAAAAGTAAAAAGGAGACGTGTACCTCACAGGTGTTAGCTCTGAACGTGGAAATTCTTGTGTGTTAAAGTGTTTGCGTTGTGACTCTCTCAACTGATAGGGGTGTGGAAATTTTTGCGTTGGTAATAATTTTGAAATCTATATATTATTAAGTATATATATCTATAACCTTTGTAATCTGTAAATATTTATATGTTTGCAGATATCTTTGTGTTAATTTAATTTACTTAACACAGAAAACATGAGCTTTCCCACACAGTCAAAAAACACAGTGAAGAATTCCACTTTTACTGTACAACACTGTCATTTATCTACTCATTTAAATTTTCTTAATTTGTCTTCAAATCATACAGAAAATCTTCACTGGCTTTTTGTTACACTGAGAAGAATTCCGATGAATGAAGCTTAATTAATTCCAAATGCCATCCATAACTAGCAAGCTTATTGCTGAAATCTAAAAATAGACGCTTTAGATAGAAACTCATTGCAAAAACAAAGACGATTCTAAATGTAATTTCCGTAGCCTGTTAGATTTGTTCCTATGGAACCAAATACCGGCCTGCAGTCTAAACAGTTAATTTTTGCAGGCGCCTGATGATTGTGATTTTTTTTGGGATGCCCATCATTAATCAACAAAATAGGGATTATTTTCATAAGATTATACAAGAATTATCTATGGAGAGCGAAGCATTACTGAAAGGTTCATTTCAGAGAAAATAAAAAAAATGTAATGTAGAAACCATTGCATGAAAAATATAAATATAAATATTGAAGTTTGAGTAATCTATGAATTTTCATGTATAGACAACACCCAATTGTACTTCATCTTGCTTGATGGACATGTACAACACCCAGGTAACTTGCCTGTTTCTGCTGGTTTTATAATCACCAGCTATACCCGCCTGCTTATTATCCCCCCCCCCCCCCCCCCCCTTTTTTTCCCCCCCCCCCCCCCCATTTTTTTTTTTTTTTTTATATTCGCAGTATTGAAAACAGGATACTTTCAGTTGAAAACTTTTGTATACTGATAGCATTTTGTATCAAAGTTTTGACAAGACGCCCCAGATATATCCATATATACGTTTTCTATTGACATTCTAATAATGGTATTGGAAATTCATTATCGGCACTTAAAAGAACAAGGAAACAGTTAATCAGGAATCCCGATTCAAGACACCGAATACAACCATACTTACAATTTTTGTTTGTTCAATTTTGACACCTTGACGCAATCACCAAAGAATTAGCTAATGAATGTCATATCTATTTTGTTACACCAAAAGACTTTAAATAAATATTTATCTTAAAAAAACCCACTTCTACACATCTCAGAAACGGCAGCAAACCTCAATAATGACATCTTGTTTGTTGATAGTCTGCTGTTTACAATCGCTATCGCACCGGCGCTTGATAAAATTGGCTGTTGCTGTCAAACGTTCTTGTGACCATCACGATGGGGAAACGAAGCGGTGAAAAATGGCCACTGTGAAGAACCCGAAACGCACATTTTTTGCGCATGTGATATTTTTCCCTGTCTCATGGCAATATCATCTGCGCCCCTTAAAACTGATGTATTTTCGGAGGGTGACAGAGATTTTTGTTTAATTTTCTCCCAACCAATCAAATAGCTAGAAATTCACTTGAGGTATAACCATATGTATTGCACTAGTCATCAAAGGTCACACAGATACATTTCACTGGTTGTGCTATGTGAACCCGTTACAATCTATACTTACCAACCTGAAGAGGATGTTCAGGCAATATTAGACCATGGTCTCTATAGACAGGTTGTTGTATATAAAAATTTCGTTGGAGATATTTATAAAATAAGTGTAAAAGTGTTAATTTTACCAAGATTGTTTTGAGTTGAAATATGAATTAACTTCGAAACAAACATTTGTAAATCTAAATATTGGTGCAAACAATTCTTTTAATGAATCATTTTAAACTGAATGAAACAAAAATTTGCAAGTTCATTGATGAAGGTGGAAAAAATGTTTTTACCGGACAAAGCTAACATTTTATGGGTGGATTGGTTGAGTGGTTAACACTTCGGCCTTAACGTTATAACGTCAAGAAGATCCTATATGCTTGAGAATCTTAACATTGTCAACGATATTGAAATACGATGTATAAGATTGTGTTCATCGTAATTTGAAAATGTCATACGCCTACCCAGTAGTTGTGCTCAATGCTTCATTGTTCTCTGTTTACAAGTCTTCGATGAGATTCGATTCTCAAGAGCTCCACTCTAATTGGCAATCTTTCTGAGGCCTATAAACTTCCATATATCTGAATAAGATTTGGGAAACACTGGTCATCGAGGGACCATGTCTTGATCTGATACAGTGGCGGATCCAGAGGGGTTTTTTGGGCTTCAGGAAACCCCCCCCCACCCTGAGAATTTTCTTTAAAAATCATGTATTTTCCCCATTTTCCCCCACAGGGAAACCCCCCCAGATAGGTCTCTGGATCCGCCACTGTGATAGACAACATTAAACGCACAGATACAATAGGATAGCTGATTTTTGACGTTTGCTGCATGGCTACAAATAATCAATGATGCATTCATGATGATGTGAAGTTTGACCAGACTTTCCATATTCCTTCCATAAACTGATGAAATGAGAATACTGGTATACTACGGTATGTGTATATATATATAGCTGAGAACGGTATCACAACCAAGGTCTACATGGTAGTTGGAGTTGAAAATGGTTTTTGTCTGAGATATTCTCCCAACACAATGATACTGGCCTGACCATTGTCCTAGCCCAAAGACAGTCTAATTTATAAGTCTAATTTATAAGCCCCAGTGTTTGATCAATCAGATATAGCTAAATGTCTACAGAGCCTGAGGCGGATCTCCAGCACTGTTTACATCCACTAGTCATGGTACACTGTGAACGTTGCGTGATAGACATGTGTGATGGCTATATTGGCCGTGACCCATTTCTGTACTCAAGGTATAATGGTATATTGATAGCTTCCTGTACTGTAGCGATAACTCCGCATTTAAAGTTGACTTCTATTAATATTTCAGTTTGAATAACTTCATATTTGTATACGCCCGTCAAATTTGATGGAAGTATTATGGTATGGGGATGTCCGTCTGTCTGTCCCTCCGTCGTAAACTTTTGTTTGTCAGGCAATCTCCTCCTACATTTTTCGACCGATCTCTTTGAAACTTGGTATACATTATAATCATGATATGAAGTTGTGTCTCCCTTAAAAGAATCTTGATTCAACAATTTTTCCAAAAGTTATTGCCCTTTGTTCATTTCAGTATTTGATTTTTGTCTGGAGATCTCCTCCTACAAATTTTGACGGATTTCTTTGAAACTTGGTATACATTATAATCATGATATGAAGTTCTTAGAGTGATGCAGATCTTATTTCAATGTAAGAAAGTATATAACACTATATGGCATTTGACGGGCGTATATTGTTCCGCCCCGCGGTACTCTTGTTGAGTTTCAAATTGAGCAATATCGGTGTTGATTCTAAGCTAATACATTAACAATTATCAGACAGTTTAGTAACTATTGAGTAAACACTTCAGATAGACAGCTGTAATAACCCGTTCACCCCTAAAGTCTCATTTAAACCTTACAAAATCAATGATTGGGCAAGTCCAGTTTAAAATCTTGGGGGTATATGAGTTAACTTTATACAATTGTTTAGTTGACTAGATTTGGTAATAATGTAATTGGCTTTTCTCCTTCCATATATAAACAAATTATCCCAGTGTAATTATATGGGTGTAATTATATGGGTGTAATAAATCCAGTGTAATTATATTGGTGTAACTATCCCGGTGTGATTATATCGTAATCTGTGCAGAATGTATGATGCATAACATGAGGTGTAGAGAATTTGACGGTGTTTATAAAATTCCAATTCTCTGGGTAAGTATAGGTTTGACTTTGCCTTACAGACAGTTTACTTGTGTTAAGACTTAGGACATTGGTCTTAAACTTTATATTGTTATCACATGTACATTTACTTGTTTGTTTAATGAAAAATGAAAAAGAGGCATATTCACTTTTGTTTTTCAAAGAGAAACAGCTATTCAATACAAGGAATATATTATAAATATCACTAAACATGTTTTCCTCCTCTTACAGCAAATTCCACGTGTATCCCCCACTGGGCGGTATACCACAGCTGTTCCCTTACTCTTCATCCTAACAGTGTCTGCCATCAAGGAGATCATAGAGGACTTTGTAAGTAGAATTACCATCCTTTCTATAAGTTCGTATGAATAGAGTTGTCCTCTGTTTTATCTGCATTATATAAATTAATCGGCGAATCTCTGGTGACTACGCTATTCTCCATCATAACCTTGTCCCTAAATGACCATATATAGCTGTTAATAGGACGTAAAACACAAACAAACCAAACCAAACTATATTTCTTCTATTATGTGATTTTCAGTTCTGTTAATTAAACAGTACAGAACTGTTTTAAATGTGATATTTCACACTATTCCATTGTCAAATAAGGTAATACCAATTACTGATAAGATAATTCTACCCATAAATAAGTTGGCAAGTAAGAAGGTATGTATTCATTGAATCTCAATTTTTTTATCACAACAATTGTAAATGAACGAATATATTACATCTCCAGCACACACGCAGGCATACACAGATAGGGAGACATTAGCCAGGTGGCATAGGACTAGTAAGTTAGCGCCTGTTAAGGCAGCTCCTGCGAATTCCTTAAAATTTGATTGATTAATGTATATGCTAATTGTGTATCTATGTACTGTAAAGCGCTTTAGAGTGGCTTAATATGTTAACTTAATAGGGCGCTATATCAAATGTTTGTATATTAATATAATTATTGATGTTTAAAGATTTACTGAACAGGGAAGCAATATTTACAGTCTTTGAAAATCTAATGATTTATAGGACAAATAATTCCAACATTTTTTTTAAAAGTTTCAACAAGATTTCTGGGTGTTAATCTGTTGTGTACATGTGCTTGCATTAGTTTACAAGAGAGGGAAGCTAGCTAGATAGATTACCATTTTGTTTGGTATAAATAATAAATACATACATACGATGAGGTACGCGGAGATTTTTTGATATATTCGTGAGTTGACTGTTAAATGTACACTGACGCGGCAATAGTGTGAATTATAGATTAGGTCTACACCGCTAGTTACAAAAGTGGCTGATTGAATTCCAACAAGACATGATCCACATCTCCCACTACGCATTGCCTTACATTACATCGACTTAACCTACCTCTCACAACTACTGCCTTACAACACTATTAGACTTAACCTACCTCTCACAACATACTGCCTTACAACACATAGACTTAACATACCTCTCACAACTACTGCCTTACAACACTATTAGACTTAACATACCTCTCACAACATACTGCATTACAACACATAGACTTAACCTACCTCTCACAACATACTGCCTTACAACACTATTAGACTTAACATACCTCTCACAACACATTTCCATACAACACATAGACTTAACATACATCTCACAACACATTGCCTTACAACACATAGGCTTAACATACCTCTCACAACATACTGCCTTACAACAGATAGACTTAACCTACCTCTCACAACATACTGCCTTAAAACACATAGACTTAACATACCTCTCACAACTACGGCCTTACAACACTATTAGACTTAACATTCCCCTCACAACATACTGCATTACAACACATAGCCTTAACCTACCTCTCACAACATACTGCCTTAAAACACATAGACTTAACATACCTCTCACAACTACTGCCTTACAACACTATTAGACTTAACCTACCTCTCACAACATACTTCCTTACAACACATAGACTTAACCTACCTCGCACAACATACTGCCTTACAACACATAGACTTTACCTGACTCTCACAACATATTGCCTTACAACACATAGACTTAACCTACCTGTCACAACATACTGCCTTACAACACATAGACTTACCCTACCTCTCACAACATACTGCCTTACAACAGATAGACTTAACCTACCTCTCACAACATACTTCCTTACAACACATAGACTTAACCTACCTCGCACAACATACTGCCTTACAACACATAGACTTAACATTCCTCTCACAACTACTGCCTTACAACACTATTAGACTTAACCTACCTCTCACAACATACTGCATTACAACACATAGGCTTAACCTACCTCTCACAACATACTGCCTTAAAACACATAGACTTAACATACCTCTCACAACTACGGCCTTACAACACTATTAGACTTAACATTCCTCTCACAACATACTGCATTACAACACATAGCCTTAACCTACCTCTCACAACATACTGCCTTAAAACACATAGACTTAACCTGCCTCTCACAACATACTGCCTTGCAACACATAGTCTTAACATTCCTCTCACAACACATTGCCTTACAACACACAGACTTAACATACCTCTCACAACATACTGCCTTACAACACTAGTAGACTTAACATACCTCTCACAACACATTTCCTTACAACACATAGACTTAACATACCTCTCACAACACATTTCCATACAACACATAGACTTAACATACCTCTCACAACACATAGACTTAACATTAACATACCTCTCACAACACATTGCCTCACAACACATAGACTTAACATGCCTCTCATTATACATTACCTTACATCACATAGACTTAACCTACCTCTTGCAACACATTGCTTTACAACACATAGACTTAACATGCCTATCACAACACATTGCCTTACAACACATAGACTTAACATGCCTCTCACAACACATTGCCTTACAACATATAGACTTAACATGCCTCTCACAACACATTGCCTTACAACACATAGACTTAACATACTTCTCACAACACATAGCCTTAAAACACATAGACTTAACATACCACATACCTCTCACAAGACATTGCTTCACAACACATTGCCTTACAACTCATTGCCTTATTATACCTCTCACAACATTTTGTCCCTGGCTCTTGATGTCTTAAGGACCATAACACTGTGTCCTTATGTTATCTATCAACGACAATAATGGAGATGTCATTATCGGCTATTTTTGTACACATCTATAAACAGACTTTGATTAGGTTCTCAACTGTACAAATCCCCATCTGGATGGTCATCCAAATTTGATTAAATATGTACAGATTAGACTGAAGCTGTAAGGTCCATTCTAGAAAGGAGGCCAGTAAAAAGAAGTCTGATGTCACTGTACATACAGTTAGGGGTTACAAGACTCAGGTGTCAGTCTAGAATCAGGGTTCATTTTAGACATTTGGCAGCTGTAAAATTCAGGTGTCACACTTACTACAATCACAGTTAATTTTCTGACATAGGAAATGCAACTATTTCATTAAAACTTTCCGGAGATGAATTTGATATCATTCAGACATATCTTTTAAAAACCAGGCTTTAGGGCTGTTATGACACGTTGTGTATGGCCGTATCCAGTAAGGTAGGGTAACCTTACGATGGTATCTATGACATAGCGTAGGACCACTTGTACACAATCAATAGATAGTCTATCTGTTATTGGGTTTCCGTGTACGTTTGCCAACTTGAATTGATTTCACGCTGTTTGTACTCCATTTTAATTTGTTTCAGAAACGTCACCGTCAAGATGACGCTGTGAACAATCGAGAAGTACAGGGTAGGTTCACGACACTCCGCGTCAATCCCGGGGCTTTTTCTCGTTTGTCACGAGTGATCTCGTAATACATGTATAGTTTCACTACCTACACATTGATGTGTTAAGTCACAAACTTGTACACAGATGTAAAGATTTGGTGAAATGCAATTTAACTGTTGAGATTGTTGTCATAGATTCACATACTTCAATTTACTACGAAACCCCTCCTATATACAATTATGACTGCCGAAGGCTCGTTATGTAATGAATTAAAACACCCGTTGAAAAATACACGCACACAACATGATAACGTAGAACAAGGCTTGAAAGTCTATCCCCTTAATAAATAAGATGTTTTCTGGAAAAAGCTACCCCTTTGTCAAATAGACAGTTCCTTGAAAGTCTATCCCCGTAATCAAGATCTTCTCTGGAAAAAGCTACCCCTTTGTCAAATAGAAAGTTCCTTGAAAGTCTATCCCCTTAATAAAGATTGTCTCTGGAAAAAGCTTCCCCTTTGTCAAATAGACAGTTCCTTGAAAGTTTATCCCCTTAATAAAGATCTTCTCTGGAAAAAGCTTCCCCTTTGTCAAATAGACAGTTCCTTGAAAGTTTATCCCCTTAATAAAGATCTTCTCTGGAAAAAGCTCCCCCTTTGTCAAATAGAAAGTACCTTGAAAGTCTATCCCCTTAATAAAGATTGTCTCTGGAAAAAGCTATCCCTTTGTCAAATAGAAAGTTCCTTGAAAGTCTATCCCCTTAATAAAGATCTTCTCTGGAAAAAGCTACCCCTTTGTCAAATAGAAAGTTCCTTGAAAGACCATACCACAATAAAGTAGAACCTGATCTGCAGGAAGACCTCCGTATAATTACAGTATAACATCTAGACAGACCGGTGCTAAAAGCAATAGAACCTTTTATAGCTGTTACAACTGTTCTCCAAATACGATTGATTAAAAGTGTCTTTTAGGAGGCACAGTGATCTAGTGGTAGAACACTGGGCACGTGACCGAAGGGTTGCTGGTTCGAGTCACGACACGGCACTGTGTTGTATCCTTGAGCAAGATACTTTACTCCGCTTGTTCCAGTCTACTCGGCTGTAAATCAGTACATCGTTGGGTAGTGCTAGAATTGTTAAATGCTAGCTGTTAGCGCCAAAATGGCAGCACCGGCTGTGTGCTCCCCAGGGAGTTGAGAAAGATATTGGTTGGTTGCAAAGGCTCTATAATTTATAACCGCGGATAATAATTTGTGAACCACTTTGAGACAACCTACGAACTAGGTTGGGATAAAGCGGTATATAAGAACCTCAAGTTATTATTATTATTATTTTCATTCTTCACTAAATAATCATCAGAAAGACAAGTTCGTAAATAATAGTAAAACCTTTTTGCTTACAGCATCCTTCAATATGCATGTACTAGAACTTCTCCAGAGAGACCATCCCTTAACTCATTCACCCCTGAAATTTCATAATGAACTATTCCAACCTTTGAATTGGAGGAGTTCAAGTGTGTCTTTAGGGGTGAATAAGTTCATGTATGAAAATAACTTTCGATAGACCAATCCATAATACTGTAAATGTCCATTTTCTGCAGTTCTTATTTTTCACAATTTGCTAAAACAGTGACTTTCAAAGGATATATTTTCCACAGATTACAAGCTTTAGTGCTATGGTAAGAATGGATTAAGTTGGTATTAACTTTGCGGAATGTATTTCACTGAAACATTATTCCTGTGAAAATTAGAATACTGCAAAATAAAACAACTTTTACAATTTCAATACAGAAGAAACCTTCAGAAAACATTTATTAAAAATAAAAAATATTTTAGTTTAAAAATGTTTTTTCCTTTATTTCCAATTTCTCCCTGAATCCCAGAGCAGAACACATTTCAGGGTATTGTTTGATTTCAGTGTTGCGAGACGGTACATGGCAGCGCCTCCTTTGGACACAGGTGTCAGTCGGAGACCTGGTCAAGGTGGTCAGTGGTCAGTTCTTCCCAGCTGACCTTGTCCTTCTGTCTTCAAGGTAACATGATGCTCTGCTTTCACTTTATAATAAGCATGATGATCTATTATTATTATAACTTGCAAATATTTTAGGATATAGTTTTGAATGAAAGGAAATCTGATCCTAAAATAAAACACAAGATTTTTTTGTCAAGGTAAGACTATGTAATCCCATTTGAATGCATGTTCTAAAAGTGATTTATAAATAACAGCATCCTTTATGATTCCCTTAATGTAATTGTACACAAATATTGTGTCATTATTATACTTATCTAAAATATGTCATTTAATCATGACGTGCCTTAAAATGTGTATTCATCACTAAATACTTTCATTTATCTGCCGAAGAGACTTTTAGAAAATATGCCTTTTGAATACATGCAGTAAGTGCACTTACCAATAATAAAGGAATTATTTATTTGTTTTTTACAGTGAGCCACAGGCCATGTGTTATATAGAGACCTCCAACCTTGACGGGGAAACAAACCTGAAGATCAGACAGGTGGGAACCCCCACTACCAAATATTAGATCGACAATTTGAAATTGATGGTTTTATGCATTAGGTGTCTTTCAAAAGCTAATCTAAGGTTTTGCTGTGGCGTGACTCATTCCATATGGCCATCTATAGCTATTTATCACATATTTCTATGAAACTTTTAGCTTGATGATGGAGTCCACAGCCTTTGATTAATTGAAATAGCACCTTTTCACAAAATTCTAAGCCATGTAAGCTATATATGTCCATTAAACCTCAACTTAAACTCTTGAATACACTGTTTTTAAAATGTTGTGTAGGAAAAGAAAATATGCTATCTTTTTAACATTGTGCTCATATTGTTTCATTATTCAAGAATTTAGCCTAATTTCTTTGTTCAAGAAATAAAATTTATTTTCCTACAAGATGTTCACTTTCAATGGAGTTGGGTGCATACAAAGTTAAATTATTATAACGATGTTTCTTCAGGGCATACCTCAAACTGCCAAGCTTTTACGACATGAAGATTTGTTAGATCTGGATGGTGTTGTGGAATGTGAACTGCCAAACAAACATCTGTATGACTTTGTGGGCAACATAAGACCGTCAGGCAGATTGTAAGTACATTCTGGACATGCACCAAATTAAACAGAGATTATATTATATATGAGAAAGTGTTTTTCTCCTGCCCACACAACTCCAACAACCCAGGTGGAGTATAAAATGGTCTGGGGTGGGTGTTGCGGTATCTGTGCTGTAGAATTCAAGTGATGTGGCACTATAAATGATACCGTTGGAAGCACGGTCCCACTACAAACAGAACACAATACATCTCCAGCACACACACAGGCATACACATTGGGAGATATTAGCCAGGTGGCATAGGACTAGTAGTTAGCGCCTGATAAGGCTGCTCCTGCGAATTCCTCAATATTGTATTGATTAATATATATGCTAATTGTATTGACTGTATAGAATTGTAAATCTATGTACTGTAAAGCGCTTTAGAGTGGCTTATGTTAGCTAGATAGGGCGCTATATCAAATGTTGTATATTTATATTTATTATCTACTGAAACAAGGTATTCTTGACAAAGCAATATCTAGGATTCCTGGTTACATTTTAATAGGGCCATGATCAATGTTCTATGTACAATCTGGGTATTATCCAGAGGTCAGAGTAGAGGTCGGATCGGAGGTCATTATGTGACCTAGCAATGTTTTGTTTCTAAATATAAACATGCTTCATCAGTCATGGCATATCAGACCTTGTCCTGCAATATTGATGGTTTCCCTGAAGCACCGTCAGGAAAGGATTGGATTAGAGTCACACTTAGAATCCTGGTATTATTCTTGGTTACAATCATAGACTTATCTGTTGATATTTCATTTATATTGATTTCACATACCTCTGTGTGTACCCAAAATGAATCGACCAAAGAGGTTGTTGTAAAAATTACAATAACATACCCAATAAAAAAGGAAAAATATATAACAAAGAAAAAAGAATTTTGTAACATTGATATTTGAATTGTGGCATGACATCATATTAAAAAAATTATGTTTCGAAAAAGTACTTTGGGATTTGAAAATATCATAACTACAAAACGATACATGAGGATTATAATTTGAAAAATACTGATTGGAATATTTTAACCAATTTTCCATACATGGCGTTACCTGTGATTGTGAATCCTACTTGTCTATATGATTGTTCACAATGAGACTTGTGGTGATGAGGTGTAAATAAGAATTCTGTTTCTGTACAGTGCTATACCTCTGGGGCCAGACCAGCTGTTACTGAGGGGCGCAATGCTGAGGAATACCAAGTGGATATTTGGTACATTAACATATCCCAATTTATAAATATACCTTTTTTATAATTACCAGGTCATTGTCATAATTTTGTATACCATGGTTTATACTTATAACCTCCACATTTGCCAATACTGATCTTTAAAAAAAAAATAGAATTCTTACATGGGTAAAAATGTAAAATGTTATATCATCAAATTGTTCTATCTCAAATAAAACAATGAAAATATACACTTTACAGCTTCTGAAATTATACCTAAATTAACTCATTCGCCCCTGAAGACACATTTGAACTCGCCCTATTAAAAGGTTGGAATAGCTCATTATGAAATTTCAGGGGTCAATAAAAGAGTATTTTTTTAACTTTATTGTAAGTCATTGTTTTATAACAAGAAAAACACCTGGTAAAGATTAAGCACTTTTTTATCCAATTAATAAGATAATAATGCTGTAGTTGTTTATGGTGTATAAAATATTTACAAAAACAAAGGTAACCAATTTAACTTCGGTTGTTCGTGTTGACAGGGATTGTGATCTACACGGGTCCAGAATCCAAGTTGATGCTCAACTCGTCCACAGCACCACTAAAGAGGTCAAACGTGGAAAAGGTCACCAACACACAGGTCAGTGGATCCAGAGCTGACATTATTAATGCCCTACCTATATTTTAGCTAAAATAATGTACCAATTTATATAAGAATGATTTGTCTTTAATATCAAAATTAGGAACATGGACAATGCTGTATGGCCGATATAAATTCATCAATATCTATTGCAGTAACATCCATTAAATAAATGATTATTTCTTTCATAGACTGTCTCTTTTGTCTTTCCCTATCATGTAACAGCAATGTTGTAGTCATTTTTATTATATCACACAATGTTTATCTGTATATCAGTATAAAAATCCTTGGTGAAAATCCTGATGGCAGAAAATGCAATTCAACGATCTTTCTTAAAAATTCCTGAAAACATCTATAGCTATGTAATTTGGGCACCCCCAACTTCAAATTAAATTTCAACACAAAAAAATGTCGGAATTTACACATGTTTTTACGATACATACAAGTAAAAACGTATTTTTACTTGTTCCACCAATATGTACCTGTCTAATGTGGGCTAGCTTATATAATATAAATGATTACTTTCCTGTACAACAATTTGCCTTTATGTTTTACACCTATCAGATCCTGATACTGTTTGTGATCCTGATTGTGATGTCCCTAGTCAGTACTATAGCTAACGAGTTGTGGACCAAGTGGCATGTGGACAAGGATTGGTACCTGGCTTACAGAGGTGAGTATCATAGCTAACGAGTTGTGGGCCAAGTGGCATGTGGACCAGGATTGGTACCTGGCTTACAGAGGTGAGTATCATAGCTAACGAGTTGTGGACAAGGATTGGTACCTGACTTACAGAGGTGAGTATTATAGCTAACGAGTTGTGGACCAGGATTGGTACCTGGCTTACAGAGGTGAGTATTATAGCTAACGAGTTGTGATCCAGGATTGGTACCTGGCTTACAGAGGTGAGTATCATAGCTAACGAGTTGTGGACAAGGATTGGTGCCTGGCTTACAGAGGTGAGTATCATAGCTAAAGAGTTGTGGACAAGGATTGGTACCTGGCTTACAGAGGTGAGCGTCATAGCTAACGAGTTGTGGACAAGGATTGGTACCTGACTTACAGAGGTGAGTATTATAGCTAGCGAGTTGTGGACCAGGATTGGTACCTGGCTTCCAGAGGTGAGTATCATAGCTAACGAGTTGTGGGCCAAGTGGCATGTGGACCAGGATTGGTACCTGGCTTACAGAGGAGAGTATCATAGCTAACGAGTTGTGGACAATGATTGGTACCTGGCTTACAGAGGTGAGTATTATAGCTAACGAGTTGTTGACAAGGATTGGTACCTGACCTACAGAGGTGAGTATCATAGCTCACGAGTTGTGGACAAGGATTGGTACCTTGTGAGTAATTTAATATAAGGATTTGAAGGAGCTATAGACAAAGTGGCATGTATTAAAGTTTTTAAGCTATATCTGAAGATTTTGCTTCTTTGCAAACGAAAGGATTATTTATTATTAAATTTGTCATTAGATCGAATACATAATTATCAAATAAATCATGACTATTTACTTTGTTTTTCCAAAACATCAACATTGGTCCCTGTAATGAGATGCACATAGAACTTTCAACAACTGACAAGTTTCAAAATAATACTTTTTCTGATTTCAGAGCTACCACCCAGTAACTTCGGCTACAACTTCCTGACATTTATCATCCTGTACAACAATCTCATCCCCATCAGTCTCCAGGTGTCACTCGAGGTCGTCAAGTTCATCCAGGCCATATTCATCAATTGGGTAAGACACAATGGGAAATAACAAGAAATGTTAATGCCGCGGTTTAACTGCCACCCTCTGTACTGAGGGCATATTTATCATTGCAATGAAAATTAGTTAACAACATGACAAACATAATAATAATCTAATGAGTTAGGACACTAAATGTCCAAAATAACTATTGTCAGGTATTATAATACAGTCGAATCTACTCAAGCGACCATCTGTATTGAACGACCATCTGTTTTATGCGACCACTTTTCATTCCTCCCGACCTTTTTTACCATGTAATTATTTAACTGTATAAAGCGACCATCTGTCTAAAACGAGACCAGCAACCACCCAAAATTACGTTAAACGACCACATTTGATACATTTTAGCGACCATGTTTGACAAAAAATTCCAAACGGTCGTTGAAATAGCTGCATGACTCCAAATTTGCGATCGTCACCACATTTAGTTTGACGAAGGGCTACTTAACGATCTTTTCATCAAGTTCAGGGAACAAATTTGACAAAACCAATTTCCAAACTTATGATAAATTCATTGATGTGCAGAAACAAATCAAAGATCAATTTTGATATTTATACTGTACTTAATGTTATTTCATTAAACTATGACTTGGTTTGTGATTCCATGTGATGTTGTGTATGGTTACAGGACCAGGATATGTACTGTGCCGAGTCCGACACACCTGCCATGGCAAGAACATCAAATCTTAACGAGGAACTTGGACAGGTGAGTTAAATTTCAGTACAGTAATGTTGTTTTTTTTTAAATGCTAATAATAATCTTTACTTAACGTCGTGTACAATTGTCAACAACAAACATAAGCTCGACTGTAGAGCTTTTATTATGACGCCGCTAATGGAACAAATGATGTTTCGTGGAAACCTACAGGGGAAACCACCGTGCCATCGGAGGGATAACAACTAACCCTATCAGACATCACTCTCTTTTTCCCGCTACTGCTAGGGATCGAACAGAAATTCTCTGGAGAGCGAGTGGTCTGAAGCTCACGCTTGATTGCACACAGTAGTATAATGCGCGATCATGGCTACCGAGTTAGAAGAAGAGTACAGGTAAATAATTGTCAAGTAAACTTGACATGGGTTCTGATTGCTTAATACGGTTGTGAAGTTTGAATAATATACCCTCATAAACATACAGATGTCCATATTCTGTATTTTTCAGATTAAATACATCTTCTCTGACAAGACCGGTACACTAACAAGAAACGTTATGGAGTTCAGGAAGTGTTCGGTGGCAGGCATTGCGTATGGGTAAGTAACACAGAGTTCAGGAAGTGTTTGGTAGCAGGCATTACGTATGGGTAAGTGACACAGAGTTCAGGAAGTGTTTGGTGGCAGGCATTACCTATACCGGTAAGTAACACAGAGTTCAGGAAGTGTTCGGTGGCAGGCATTACGTATGGGTAAGTAACACAGAGTTCAGGAAGTGTTCGGTGGCAGGCATTACCTATGGGTAAGTAACACAGAGTTCAGGAAGTGTTTGGTAGCAGGCATTACGTATGGGTAAGTGACACAGAGTTCAGGAAGTGTTTGGTGGCAGGCATTACCTATACCGGTAAGTAACACAGAGTTCAGGAAGTGTTCGGTGGCAGGCATTACGTATGGGTAAGTAACACAAGAGTTCAGGAAGTGTTCGGTGGCAGGCATTATGTATGGGTAAGTAACACAGAGTACAGGAAGTGTTCAGTGGCAGGCATTACCTATACCGGTAAGTAACACAGTGTTCAGGAAGTGTTCAGTGGCAGGCATTACCTACGGGTAAGTAACACTTACCCTTCCTTCAGGACAAAACACTTGTTTATATACTTGTAAATCTGTAATTGTTTTGATTTCATGTGTTATTTGCTTGCCGCACAAAGTAGCGGAAGCGAGACTTAGGTATTGCTTTTCCGGCGCCGGCGTCACCTTTAAGTTTTTGCGTTTCAGTTAGTTTCACTGAGGGTATAAGTGCTAGACCAACCAAACTTGGACCATAGATGCATCTTAGGTAGTACATCTTAACCCTTGCATTAAATGCTGGATGCGACCTACCTTTCATGGTCCATTGACTTTGTCAGCATCTCCATCAACATTAAGTTAGTTTCTCTGATATGTGCATCGATTGTCAAAGCAGGGCACAGGCAAGACATATTAATTTAATTCGGAATGGCTTGTTTTTATCTTTATTTTATTTTTCTATTGAATACCATATAACTTTCTTTATATTTTTCTGATGTTTGTCGATGATATGAACAACCAAGTTTTTGATATATATTAAAAATGTGTTTTCTTTCTTTCAGTAACAATGACGAAAGTGAACATGCATTCAATGACGCGACAATTACAGAGAATCTACAAAACCATGTAAGACAACATTATTAAACTTTTTTATTTAAATAATCTTCTATACTCAGGAGGTTGTTCTCACTTTCGATCTCTGCACCCCTATAATATGTCATGACAAAATTGAAGGCTTAGTGTTGAACACCTTGCGAATGAGAATAGAAGACTTGTTATCTTGAATCTCTCGGTCGCATAACAGTAAAATTGACAAGCTTTGAAGGCGAGTGTTGCTCCTCTTTAATCTTCAAAGGACAGGTATCGGGCTAGCGATTGGTCTGGGTTTTTTTATATTTTTTATCTGAGACTAATTAAATAGCTAGCTACGCGCCTTCAATTTTGCTATGAACTATTCCAGGGGTGCAGAGAGCGAAATCGAATGTAACCCCAGTAGTATCACAGATTTATTTAAATAACAATAAGCTGATGTTTGAATAATGCCAATCGGAGCACTCTATTAGAGACTGTATCCTCAAATATTAACCTTTGTACTTTAGATAAGGAAATAACAGATGTGATATTTACATTTTTCTACTGTTAAATTTCTCTTCTGGCAGAGAATGAAATCTGTTTATGAAAAGTCATTTTTGAAATTTACATTGTTAGTCTCCTACTAGAGCTATTATAGGGGACTTTGTTTCTTATTTGGCTGTCTGCGGTTAACAGTGTTAATGTAATACAATGTGACCTTTGTATCTAGCATTGGACCCAAACATTGAAACCTTTGCCTGGAGCATAAAGATTTGGCCTTATAACACTTTCATGTATCAGCTTTGTTTTTTTAAGTAGCTTCAGTTGAGTAAATAGCAAAATTATTACCAGTTGGGAGTGATGGATCGCCTCGTAATGTTTCGCCTTGTTATCATTTGATGGTATGGGGCCTGTTCGTTTATGCAGAACAACCGGTACGTCCGCTTTTAAATGTAACAATTTTGGGTATAAATCCTGACGGACCTGCAAATGTTTATGCAGGCCTTGCAAGTCTTTGTCAAGGCTAGCCTGAAAGCAGTATCAGATTACTAGGTCCGACCTTATTTAATAAACGAACAACTGTGGTCCCACTGGTTGAACCGTTTAAATGAAAACGGCCATGATTTCTTGAAGTAAACTTACCTATAAAATGTCTAATTATCTGCCCCTGCCCATGTTGATACAGGTGACAGCCCCAGTTCTACGGGAGTTCCTCACCTTGCTCTCTGTATGTCACACTGTGGTTCCGGAACGCGAGATCCGGGAGGACGGCAGCGAACCCGTGGTATACCAGGCCTCATCTCCAGGTAACAACTGTCTGTCTGTTTGTCTGTCTGTCCATTCATCCATGTTCTCTCTTCCACTATGTTTATATGGCTCAATTAGTATAGAATACTTTCCATAAATTTAAGTTTGAAACTTTAAAATTCTCAGTTGCTAAAGTGTGTTTTATTGTAAATTTTGTGGATTTCTTCTCTATTTCAAGCTGTGATAACATTTATTGAATTGAAGATAACAAATTAATTTCAAACATTTAGATATTTTAAGTTTTAATTTTTCACTTTCACAGTATGTATATTTATCGAGGTGCAACATTGCCCAAGTGATGTTCTTAACAAAGATTTATTTGTATTAACAGATGAAGCAGCCCTAGTGAAAGGAGCTAGGAGCCTCGGGTTTGAGTTCGCTACTAGGACCCCCCAGGCAGTCACCATTAAAGTGGTCAGTATGCTACATGTATTGTCTTACTTAGGGATTATGGGGCCACGATGGCCAAGTGGTTAAGCATCTGACATTCTGCTACCACTAGCCCTCCACCAGTGGGTCACAGGTTTGAGGCCAGGTACTGGCTGTAGGTCGGTGGATTTTCTCAAGGAACTCCGCCTTTCCTCCACCACTAAAACCTGGCACATCCTTAAATGACCATAGCTGTTTTAAAATAGGACGTAAAACGCAAACAAACCAAATCATCTTTGGTAAAATTAATTATAAGCAGCTACAATTTCACATATTCTAGTTAAATTTTCACTTTAGACACAAAATGATAAGCGTGATAGTTGAGAATTATTGACCTCTTGGCATATGGAGTTAAAAGGCAGTTTGTGACATCGTAAGAGTTGTTTACATGACTGCCAGATAAGGTTTGTCCTATAGCTGCTTGTGTCTGAAAAATAATTCTTCTGAATATAGATAATAGAATCGTTCCTGATAAAAATTTCCTAGATAAATTGTGTGATAATGAGTTGACAATCAATATCTTTCACAATATCCACTAATTAATTTTCAGAATGGAAAATCAGAAGAGTATGAAGTATTGAATGTTTTGGAATTTACCAGGTATGTATTTACTAGCTTCATGACCAGCTACTATCAAAAATCATATTTAAATTATAAAGTTGATACAAAAGGACTCAAGTGTTTTATGTCAGGTAATTTAAAGATACTTGCTTACCTTGGACAGATATTCATACACCTGCTATATTATGGAGGGGTGGGGGGATAGTATAGTATCTCCTTGCATCAGCCAGGTCGTCTTCCAGTTTCATCACTGTATAATTACTATTTTATTCAAAATATGCAAAAGGTCGAGTTTGAAAATACCTCAGATAAATTTGTGTTTCAGGATTCCAAGTTCAAGGTTATTTAGGTTGTACTTACTTTTTATAGAATTTTGTCAACCAATTAATATGTGACATCACTCTAGGAACTTCATTTCTGAATGGATTTTAACAAAGCTTTATACAAAGGTGAAGTATTTTAGAATACTTGGAATGAGTTCATATTTCGGGGTTACAAGAGCAAGGCCAAGGTCATTATTACTATTTATAGAAATTTGAGAAACGATGATGCTGATTTTCATGGTAGCAAGTGCATTGATTTCTTCCAGACATTTTCTAGTTACATTTAATTAGACATGAGTTTACCTGAAATAGGTGTTAACATCTGTTGAACTGACATACAATGTACTGTAATATATTAGTTACGATATTGCTATATTTGATTTTCAGTACAAGAAAAAGAATGTCGGTTGTAGTACGTACCCCTGACGACAAGATCAAAGTTTACTGTAAAGGCGCAGTAAGTTATTTTAGATCGTGTTTGCTGTATATTTACATTTGCGCTGCAACCCACAACATGAAAATTTCCAGCTGAAAGGCATTTTGAGTATGAAAGCACACACTCTCGTGACGTAACACATGGTTTACTTATGATGTCATAGATTAACCTTGTTCAATGAGAGTCTTGTCGCTTCACTTCGGATAACATGGAGAATGCCCCTGCGTCAAACGCACAAATGACTACGGTTAATCGCAAACCGGTTACATTCATATTAAACATTGAAGCCAGAGGGCTTCATGCAATATGGGTTGCAACTGATTTGCGTTTATAACGGCATGAAAATTTAAAAAAAAAAAAACTTTCAATCCCTATATATTTCAGAAATTGTCATGTCATCTTATTAGTATCGTTATATAAGTCACACTGTTGATTATCATGATTTCTTGAAACGTTATTTTCTTATTAGTAACGTTATATAAGTTCGCCTGTACGTTACTTAGTAACTAAATTATCTGAACGTGTTTAAACATCCTGGTTGTAACTACAAAAAAGATGCATTTAGATTAATGCGTTACATCTCCAGCACACATGCAGGCATACACACACAGGGAGGTATTAGCCAGGTGGCATAGGACTAGTAGTTAGTGCCTGATATTAGGAAGCTCCTGCAAATTCCTCAAAACTGTATTGATAAATGCAAATGCTAATTGTATTATTTGTATATCCATGTACTGTAAAGCGCTTAGAGTGGCTTATGTTCCCTAGATAGGGAGCAATATCAAATGTTGTATATTATTATTATAATTTAGGAAATTTACAATATGTAATATAATATTTTATCAATTTGTCGCAAGAATATTTATAAGATACTGTTATGCGTGATACATGATATAACTCAAGTGAAGGTTTACCAGTTATCCAAGAGGCTATCTTAGTAACCTTTTATCATCCCATTGTACACTACATGTACTGATATTCATTCAATAGTTATAAGTCAAAATTTCATAAATCTTAGAATTGTTTAAATTTGTGCCTATATAACTTTCGTTTAGGCCAACTTTTGGTTTTTGAAATTCTCTTATCGATTGTTATGTCCCATATTATCAAAACTGTGTTTGTTGATAATAGTTTGACTGTAATATTTTGTTGTTGTAGGATACTGTTATATATGAACGCCTGGATGAGAAACAACTTTACAGGGATATCACTCTGCAGCATCTAGAGGAGTTTGCCACGTTGGGTAAGTTTTCTGTTCAAGCTCCTTTACTCATGATCATTCACCCCTGAAGACACCTTTGAACTCTACCAATTCAAAGGGTGGAATAGTTCATTATGGAAATTCAGGGGTGAATGAGTAAATGACTTCTACAATGCTATGGTGTTCTTGATGAAAAGATGGAAGCCAAGTTTTGTATTTATAGAGTACTTTAGGCCGAGACACTGCCAACCATATTCACCAGCTGTGTGTATGAGGAGGACTGAATTATGAAAAGTTCTTGTTACGCAACTAAAAAGTGTTTCTTTATGACGTTCCGACGACTAGTATGATATGTACTCTAGCCTGTCACCTATGGAAACACTTAATGGTTGTGTAACAAGAACTTTTCATAACCCATACTTACCAACCTGAAGAAAATGTTTAGAAATATGAGGAGGACTGATTTTAGTTGCTTTTATATTCAGGGAGTTTTTCAAGTTGCAAGAAATGTATCCTCTATTCATTAATTTTCATTGTAATTTATCAAATACAGTCCCAGTATGCGTGTGATCTGATAACTGTATTAAGTGAGGTCCTCTGTCAAATACAGACCTGGTCGGGTGGCGTAGTGGATAGCGCGCTAGCCTTTCACCAAGGCACCGGGTACTCCAGTTTCCTCCCACATTAGGAGCCCTCGCACGCGCTAACATCCAGGCCAACAAGAGTGATTGATATAAGTTGAAATAAATTGTTTCATAATTGTTGTAAAATAAATAAAGTTTACATTTTAGATACAGACCCAATTTTTATCTGTCAAACATTATAAGTCAGATTCTCATCTTGGTTCCAATGTTTACATTGCTATCTAAATCTGTAAAACTGTCCTAGTGGTAGTCTGTTGCACAATCAGATGTCTGAGGTTTTATTTTGTATGAACATGATATACGTATTAGATTCTGACAAAGTATTGATTATTTTCAGGTTTACGGACCCTTTGTATCGCGACAGCTGACGTAGCTGAGGACTTCTATGAAGACTGGAAACACACCTATTACAAGGCCAGCACATCCATACAGAATCGCGAGAAAAAACTGGAGGAGGCGGCCGAACTGATAGAGAGGGTAGGTGCTGTTTTTTAGCATCCTATTAACAATCCTAGAACAAACCATGCTGCTTTAATTTCATGGCGGGTATTTTAATAGTGACCACTTCCACTGTGCATAACATAATCACCAAATGACGGACATTCATTCCGGAATCATAGTGTTACTAATTTATGATGTAGGATATTACAGGTGCTAGTGTTGTAACGATACATCGTACTACCGATAGATTGCGATTGTACACCTCTCGGTTTGGTTAATCGATGACAACTTCATAAACTCAATAGTATGCTAAACAATTGATAGTTTCAAAACTACTAACACTTGCGGTTTTCAGTATCACACCATGCGATTACGAGTACTGATAACTCAGTCGTTATCATTAAGACGCACTCGGATATTAGTCTCAGTCGTATGTGCGTTTTTATTGCATATGATACGTTATACTCTATACTCAGTGTTGTGGGAATGTTTGATAAACACGCTATCAGACAGCATGGCGACTAACTTGCATATTTAAAACAAAAGTGACCTTATACCAATGAAACGAACCAGCAAATTAAGAAATAACAGAAAGAACTTGGGTAACTAAAGTATCCAATACTATAGCAATATTATCGTGATATAGTATACCACAATAATTGAACTATCGCAATAGTGGTTTCCCCAATAGTAATAGTATTGCAATAGTGAAAAATACACGCAATAGTCACCCCTAGTTTGTGCTATCACTGTAACAGTGTTGTGATCATGATAAGAGTGGGGAGAGGGCTCTAAGTACTATAACTGGGTTTACAGATAGTTTTAACACAGGGACTTGTTTTACAGAAATTGTGCGGGGAGAGGATTTTGCAAATTTCCAACTTTGATATAAAGTTCCAGATCACCTGTGAAGTGTTTTAAGACCGATGTTGTTAGTAGTACATGTTCGCCTACTACAATCAAGAGGTACAGAGTGTGTCAGTTTTTTAAACTGATAATCGAATAGGTTTTATCCATCTTTGAGCTAATCAAGGAAATCTCCACTGTTTTCCTTTTTTTTCTTTTTTTTCCCTTTAACATCCTATTAACAGCTAAGGTCATTTAAGGATGTTTCCCCACTGTAAAATGAGCCAAGATATAATATTATATTTTCCTTCAATTTTTCAGAATTTAAAATTGCTTGGTGCTACAGCTATTGAAGATGAACTTCAAGATGTAAGTAGAGCTACAATATTGTACTTAACAGATACATACCTGTCAGTGAGGCACATACACTCAAGATGTAAGTAGAGCTACAATATTGTACTTAACAGATACATACCTGTCAGTGAACCACATACACTCAAGATGTAAGTAGAGCTACAATATTGTACTGAACAGATACATACACTCAAATTTTAACTTTATCTTTAAAATACAAATAACCAATAAAAGACTTTCTGAAAGTATAAAATTGCAGATTTATTTTTCCAAGGATGTATTTTGTCGATGATGCCAAATTCTCTGTCTCTTCATCAATTCATCAATTATAAATCTCCTGTTTGCTGGGTAATTATGTTTATTACTGAACCGGTATACCGGTAAACTTTCGCTTGGTCAAATATTCGCCCTTTTCCAATAAATACCAAGTTGGCTCAGTGTTAATTTTGCTCTTCACATGTAATTACTATATATAATTACATGTTATGTACTAATATTCGTTGTCGTGATAAATTCACTCTCATTGGGGAGGGCGGAAAAATGCAAAAAGTTATACTGCAGTGAAAAATTTCCGAGTGTACACTATTGAGACAAGGGTTGAAAAAGATATTCCTTTGTTCACAATGATTGAAAAAATAAATATCTTTGATAAAATAGTCCTTTTGAAAATATGTACATAGCGGAACCAATATGACTGCAAAATAAATCACTTTTGAATAAAATATTCCATGCTTTATTTAAGGGTGTGCCTGAAACAATAGCCAATCTGGCTAAAGCTGATATCAAGATATGGGTGCTGACGGGAGACAAACAGGAAACAGCCATTAATATAGGTATATACTACGTGATCAGGTGGCACACTGGATAGCACAATCGCCTATCACCAAGATGGCTGTGTCATTAAATTTGAAAAGTTTTTGCAACTTGCCTGACTGTGCAGTTTTTCTACAGGTACTCAGGTTTTCTGTCGCATTAAGATCCCTACAAGCTACCAACCTGGCAAACAAAAATGAATAATATAAGTTCATAAAAGTTGTTTCATAAATGTTGATATTTATTGTGTTTATTATATGTCCTGTAACAAATGACTAACACAGAACATCTTACTAAAGTATTTTCTGTTAAAAACATAAGATAAAATCTAGTGAATTAACCTGTTTTATGGACAACAATTGTAGAATGTATCATCGTTTTTCTCATTACAGGTTATTCGTGTAAATTATTGACCCAGGGCATGCCGTTGTTGATCGTCAATGAACACAGTCTGGATGTGAGTACTTTAATTAACTCATTCACCCCTGAAGACACATTTGAACTCTTCCAATTCAGAGAATGGAATAGTCCATTAAGAAATTTCAGGGGTGATGACTTAACATTTTAGTAATGGTAGTATTGTCTCACACATTTGTTTTGTTTTCAAAGCCGTATTAATTTATTCAAGATTATTCATTCTCAAAACTGTACTTGAATTAAGTTTCAAGAATTCGGTATGAACTGTCAGTATTTGAAGATGTACATCTCATTTCTGATTGGCTCATGAATAATGGATGAGCATGGGAAACATTCAATGTAATGATGGATTCGTAATTGCTGTAAGCACTGACACAATTTCATTATTTCTTGAGGGCTCTCGAATGATAGCATTGACACTCATCCACTCACTCATCCTCCTCTGGACACATTGCATTACACCGACACCTTGTAATTAAATGTATATGGTACCATTATGCCAGTGCAATGCTTTTCTATCTCCCATTCGGTCATACAACTCGGGGACCAAGTGGCCCGCACGTGGCTACACCGGTACCTGCTGCGATATTTTCAATATAAACCCCGAAGCTGAACTTGAGTAACCCATGGGCCCCTTACATGTATTCGGGATACTAAGTGGCCATGCTCATCGAGTATCAGGTCCTAATCTGTCCCACGCCTCGTCACACATCCACACCTTCCACAAGGCGAGTTGTCCGTGGCCTTCAGTTTTCCCCTGATCAAGCTTGTGCCCAAGGGAAGTCAGGTACAGCCAGTAGCTAGGCACCCGTATCTTTTGCAAACTTAATCAATAATTAGATTTCTTACACTTGTTTGTTATCTGTGGTGTAAATTAAGTGTTCTGATGTTGTTGTGATATACTGATAATTTAACTCTTTCACCACTGTAGACCATAATGGACTCATCCATATCAATGTGTAGTATAGTCTACTGATGTTACATAGGGGTGAAAGGGTTAACCCTTCAGTTTAGTGATCATTGGGATTAATCTGTGAAAATTATTATTATCACAAGTGTATGTGTTAAAAAAAGGTTCTATATTATATGGGCACAAAAATAGCTGAATCAGCTGTCTAGTCAGATTATGTAGGTATGTAATAAAATCTGTACTAAAACATATTTGCCAGCTCTCCATATCTAGGAGGGAGACTCCCAATGTTGGACCCTTAAATTTTGTATTTCCAACCATTGTAGAATTGCTAAACCACTCCTTTATTCTAAAATCTAAGGATTTCATAGAGCAACATTATGTAAGTTTGAATGATAAGTTTGTCTCATGCGCATTCTATTTATGTTTTTAATTTATCAAGCATGCAGAATCTCCCCCATGGAAATTTCAAGAGGTTAGCAAGTATGCTAAAACCCAATCCAGACCATGATTTTACATTAACACTTTCAGAATGAAATCTACATTCCTCTGAATTTACTGTACGGACTGTTCTGTAAGTAAGAAACGTGTATGTTTTTACCAAAGTACCTTTATATTATAGGGGACACGAGAGACGTTAAGACGACATGTTGGAGAGTTCGGAGACCTCCTTCGGAAAGAGAACGACGTTGGTTTGATTATCGACGGACAGGTATGTTTACTGCTATTTCCATTTGCTTACTTTGATCGACAGATTGAATTTATTTGCATGGCTTCCGATTGTGTCGATGTTGAACCAGCATTTTGCAACACATGCAAATATTTGACAAAATCCAGGAAAAAAATATATAAAAAAAATAAAAAATATTATTATGCAAAGAAATTGTTCGTGAATGAGGCACATTTTCATTGTGATAATACAATATGTTATATTTAATATGATTTGTTCTTTTCCCAGCACTCAATATTTTCTTCTCAGCACCTTTATAAACATTATTTTCTTTCAGTTTCAAAATCACTTTAAGTTTCGTTTTCACTTACTCTCGGTGTATCATTTTTCTAATCCCATATATGCTACTACCTAATTAGTACAAATACCAAACTGTATTATATTTTTTTATTAATCTTTTTGAGTATTTTTGCATGGAGGTAATTTCTATCTCTCCCCACCTCTGATGAATGAGATCACCTCTAGATATGCCTACTGTCTGTTGCTTGAATTAAGCTGGAAGGATTTTGCTAGGGTCTCCATTAGCAAAGAAATTAAAAAAAAATCAAAACCCCCCTTTAAACAGCTCTACAGGTATATGTCGTAATTATCCCTAATTTAACTCTTTCACCCCTGAAGACACATTTGAACTCTTCCAATTCAAAGGTTGGTATAGTTCATTATGAAGTTTCAGGGTTGAATGTGTGAAGTACAATGTAATAACAATGTAGAATATTGGAAAAAAAGTCTGTGACAGCAAAGTTATTAGTCATTGACAGTAAAAAAAAGTACCTGCATAAAATTAAACAGAAATTTAACCAGAAGAGAACTGTGTCCTAGGAATGGTGTTATTTTCTGTGTCTGTTCTAATGATATAGTGATTTCTACTCTGTGACTGAAGAAGAGTTTTGGTTTCTGTTTGGCATGGGTTTTGATAATGAGGCTGCCTATTTATAATTGAGTTGATAATGCTTAACATTCTGTCCTGTCTCTCTACCTCTAAATCTCTGTAGTAATGATATGCTTGTCAATTAATAAATTTTATTTGAAATGTTATTCTCTCTATTTTTGAAAATACACATTTTAATACAATGGTATAACAATTTTAAAATTAAAAAGAAAAAAGAAAAAAAAGAAAAAAATGATCAGAAGACTTTCTTTTAAAACAAAGGGACAGGTTATGTTATCTTTACCATGCTATATTATGTGAATTCGTTTATAAATTACAACCCATACACTATAAAAAGATGTGTAATTTAAAGTTAAATGTGTTGTTACTTAAAAGACAGTAGGGCTGAAGTCATCGTAGCATCATCAGTTAAAAATGGAAATAAATAAGGTCTAATATCATTAATATGTTTTTTTTAATCAGGATATTTCATGTGTACACATGTAAAAAAAAAAATCACAAATAAATTCATTCTTCCTATCATAAAATCTTTTGTTTTCTGAATTTCATCATCAATTAAAGCATCAACTGATTTCTTTTTCAAAACTCTCTTTCTCTCTCTGTGTCTCTCTAAATGTACATTAACATTATAACAGGAATATACTGACCATGTTGCTTTTCATATTGCTTCAGACACTGGACTTTATCTTATCCGACCGTCCTCCAATCAAACGCCCCAAAAGAAAAAAGGTTCATTCTATGTATTGATGGTATTGATTGGTTGTTTGTGCATCTTGCAAAATCCCTTCAGCTTCCATCCATATCAATCATGCTATTTTTCGATCTTTCTTGCTTATATTTATGTTGTTTTTCTATAGCCTTGGTTATGTGTGTATGTGACATGTGATTGTGTGTGTGTTGGTGTGTACCAGTGTTCTCTGTAGCTATAGTGTGTGTTGTTTACTGATCATTCACTGTGCGTTGAGTATGAACTGTCAGTAATCAATATGATGCATCAGTGTTACTGTTAATGTCTTAAGCACAGTACCATCACAACTCATAGTTCATATATCATAAAACCTTAATTTCAACGTCCGTCAGTATATTTGGAATTTAAAATAAGGTAATGTAGAACCTCCAATTATCACGGAAAATGGGCATACGTTTTAATTGTGCCCTCTCAAATTCAAACTTCTGATGTGCAGTACTGAAAAGGACCAGTAAATGCATCCTCGACACTCCAGGGGTCAAGCTCACTTTTGCTCTCTGCACCCCTGGAACATGTCATAGCAAAATCGAAGGCTCAGTGAGCACCTCCTCGTGGACAAGACATAAAGACTATTTCAATCCTTTGATGTACATCAAAAGAATCTCGCGGTCGCGTAACTGTAAAATTGACTGGCTTTGATGTCGAGTGTTGCTCCCTTGTAATCTTCAAAGGACAGGTATCAGCCTGGTGATTGGTCAGGTTTTTTTTTTACCAGAGACCAATCAAACAGCTATCTTTGTGCCTTCAATTTCACTATGAAATATTCCAGGGGTGCAGAGAGCGAAAGTGAGCGTAACCCCTGGAGTATCGAGGATGCAGTAACTCTGGCCACCGTGTCACTGCCACTTCTCAAACACGCAGCTTAAATGTTGCTATGGTTATAAGTCTGCAACCCTCAACATAAGATATATAGCACATACTTAAAATAAAGTTTTGTTTCCTTTTTTCATAACTTTATTTTAAGTATGTGCTATATATCTTATGTACGTGAGATGGACTATCTAAATACCTACAATGTTCTCTTAAATACTCACAATGTTCTCTGTGGCTGCTATTTAAAGCATTAAAGCAATTCTGGTCTCTGTGGAGTATCACATATATTGATAGACATTTAGGGTGAACCTTGACTTGGATAGTCTCTGGTCAGTTCTTGGTCACAACATTTTTCAGTGAGTAGAGTGTCTGCCATAGGTCTTAACCATATATTTATACAAACAGAAATAAAACTTATCAATGGTAGCCACCAAAAAAGATCAAAGTTATCTCCCTTGCTCTCAAATGAAAATAAAATTCATGTTTTAACCAATTTAGATCATGTAACCAAAAAGGCATTTGAGCTATCAGTAAAAGTCCACCTTTACCACTTAACTATAACTGTATAGTGAAATAAAGTTGTTAGGTTGTTTTTGTCTGTCCTTATAGATTAGTTAACTCATGCACCCCTGAAGTTTCATAATGAACTATTCCAACCTTTGAATTGGAAGAGTTCAAATGTGTCTTCAGGGGTGAATGAGTTCAAGATGTGAAAAGCTTTTTCTTCAGAACTGCATTATTTTTGTATGATATAGTTAAGATAGTCTAGATTGGGTTTAGAGATTTTTGTTAAATTATGATTCTGACTCACTCAGTAGAAAGAGAAAGATGGAATACAGAGGACAGAGAGTTGTGTGATAAAGCCAGGCTAAACTCTGATAAATAGCATGCCTTAAAATCTGATAATTACTGTGCATGTTGGTGGGAAATATCAATGACTCTGTCATACTTTAAATGTCTTCTTTATTGTATGGTCTGTGATTTGTTTGACCGTGTATGAGAGTGGCATCGGTATGATAAACATGACAAATAAACGTAGAGATATTTGTGTCTGTACATGTATGTCGACATCAATGTATTACTTTTAAGACATGATGAGATGGATGCTGATTTGGGTATTAGATTACTAACTAATTAACTAACCAAACGTGTTTTCACAACAGCAAGTGAATCCTGATCCAAGCTAACACAAGTGTTTATAGATACTTAACAATTTTCCTTCATAAACCATTATGTATAAATGGTAAGACATTCCCCTTCCATCATCCCATCCCTGTATAGCTACTAATGTTTTAACACTGCCATTGCAGCACATTCTTGTTGGACAAATGAAATTCACGTGTCAATTAGGGATAAATATTAAATATTGTTATTCCATCATCTAACAGAGTTACCTCCAATTATCAAACCGAGGCACCACCAATCAGAACAACAGATTGATCTCCCATCATCAAACAGAGTTACCTCCCATCATCAGGGTTACCTCCCATCATCAGAGTTACCTCCCATCATCAAAGTTATCTCCAATCATCAAACAGAGTTACCTCCCATCATCAAACAGAGTTACCTCCCATCATCAAACAAATTTACCTCCCATCATCAGATTTATCTCCCATCATCAAACAGAGTTAACAGAGTTACCTCCCATCATAAAACAGAGCTGATCACATATAACATGCATGCAATGAAATATAACTAAGTGTCAGTGATATGTTTGTAGTCTGGGTTAATTATACTGACAGTAAAAATGTCTCACCTCAGTTTGCTATATATATCTATACAAAAAAACCTGTCTTCACTTACTGTTCAGCCCGTAATTCTAAGACCTCTATAAAAACCAGGACTATGGAGTCACCTCCCTTTAATATAAGAAGATATTCAATAATTCTAGAACATCGCTGAAGATCATTAGAAGATATATTTGCAATGTTCCAAAAACAGTGGGAATATGAGAAATCTTATCTGTGTTCTCATCTGGAAGGACACTTTAAATATTAATGGTGTCGAGTTAACGGTTAAATCTGTTTACAGTACCGTTTTTCCTTTGATGTCCTGATGACACTGGTCTTCTGTGATCTGAATGTGGAAATATACCTAGCAGGCTTACTGTGGTTAATTCTTATTCTAACTCAGAAGATATTTCTTAGAAAAAACAATCGCAAAATGAAAGGAAATCCATATAAATCCATAGACCAGTGTTGATTTATTCTTGGGATATGTGATATTTTTATGGCAATTTCTGTGGGGAAAAAAGGTATATTTACAAAAAAAAACATTTGCAAGAAGTATACTTGCAAAAACAATTTGCAAAAAAAAAGTATATTTGCACAAAAAAAGGGTGTAATCTTAACCACCAAGCTAATTAGTATATTAAGAATTAATGATGTATAGTTAACTGTGTTGACCGTTGCCTAGGTTTTACTTAGCCTTAGTTGTGTAGCTAGTGGAAACAGCATGCTTGGGGGAAGTGGTCTGCTACCGTTTTTTCTGAGAGATTTTTTTTATTATTTATGGGATATCTTGGATTCTGTTTTCTAAAGTGAGGGAGAATCATGTATTTCTCTTTATCTTTGATTGTAAAATTCTTCTAAATGAAAAAAAAACCCTGTTACTATGAAATGCTATTTTCTAATGCATCTTAATATTTATCGTCTATTGGAATATATCTTATTATATATTCTTATTTATATGCAAGTATTTAATCTTCATATCAATTTATAAAATGACACACCACTGTTTGTTGTATAAACATATCTATTGTCCTCATATCCTTAAATCTGTGATAACTCTACCGATACTTCTACATCAACTGTTATATAATACTTATCTTCTTACTGATTATAAAAAAGTGTAATGGTATATTAACCCTAGAGTAGAAAGTCTTACTTCATGTGTATGTACATTATTCTACAGCTATACTTATAGTATCCAGTTTTTATAAACTTCTGTTCTATGATACATTTTCAAGCTCTGGGTTTCTGTTAACTTATATCTGACCTTACAAGGTCGACCTTCACCCTATGGTTTTGTTGGATCTGCAACCTTGACCAGTCAGGAATACTCTAAGATACAAAACTGGAATGAGATATGTTATACAGATCTGAGTCTCCTTTGCTCTTGTATGTGTTATAGAGATCTGAGTCTCCTTTGCTCTTGTTCCATAATTGTCTGTTACACGGTAGTCTCATTCATGTTGTGTTTGTTACAGACACTGAAATATGCATTGTCCTGTGATTGTCGACAAGATTTTCTCGACATTGCCATTTCTTGTAAAGCTGTCATCTGCTGTAGGTAAGTATGCAACCATGTATGTGTACAGTAGACAGGTAATGTGTAAATTTGATAATGAATCTGTATTTACAAAGAAGATCAATTACTGATCAGGTAGAGACAACAATTTTTGTCGAAAATAGACTAAGGAGATACAATAACACTCTGAAGTCCTGTTTAATACAGTGGAACCTCTCTACACAGAATCCAGTATCAACAATAAATCACATGGTATACGTTGTTTCTTTAGAAACTCATAGTGGTGCCTGTGTACATGTATTGTGATATCCATTATTCTAGATGATCATGTCATAACTGCTAAGGAATACAGTATATCCTACAGATTGACAATCTGTAATAATAGATATGATATTCAATATTCAATATTCAATATAATATATGCCTCAAGGGCATGCTATATTGAAATACATGAATGTTATTTCTGTTCACCAGGGTTTCCCCTTCCCAGAAGGCCGAGCTGTGTAACCTTGTGAAGCACTCAGTGAAGGCCATCACCTTGGCGATAGGGGATGGTGCTAATGATGTGGGCATGATACAGGTATGTATAGTTAATTTTTGGGATTGGGCTGAACTTATAGGTATGATACTGGTTTATTCTTGGAAATAAAGGAGCTTAATTAACAGTATGAACAAGTGTGTTTAATTACAGTATGTTTACTGAAAATCATAAGATTCATATATTTCCTAGCAATAATTATGTATGTTATGTTATCATTTTTTTTCTCTCACAATAACTGATGAATGTGTGCTGTCATGGTTACAGGCAGCTCACGTTGGTGTGGGGATCAGTGGTGTAGAGGGACTGCAAGCAGCATGTGCCTCAGACTACGCAATCGCACAGGTAGGTCACAATGTCAGTCACACACACAGGTAGGTCACAATGTCAGTCACACAGGTAGGTCACAACATCAGTAACACAGGTAGGTCACAGTGTCAGTCACACAGGTAGGTCACAATGTCAGTCACACAGGTAGGTCACAATGTCTGTCACACAGGTAGGTCACAATGTCAGTCACATAGGTAGGTCACAAAGTGAAATGTCAGTTACACAGATAGATCACAATGTCAGTCACACAGGTAGGGCACACTGTCTGTCACACAGGTAGGTCAAAATGTCAGTCACACAGGTAGGTCACAATGTCAGTCACACAGGTAGGTCACAACATCAGTCCCACTGGTAGGTCACAACATCAGTCCCACAGGTAGGCCACAACATCAGTCCCACAGGTAGGTCACAATGTCAGTTACACAGGTAGGTCATAACATCAGTCACACAGGTAGGTTACAACATCAGTCACACAGGTAGGTCACAACATCAGTCCCACAGGTAGGTCACAACATCAGTCCCACAGGTAGGTCACAATGTCAGACACACAGGTAGGTCACAAAATCAGTCACACAGGTAGGTCACAACATCAGTCCCACAGGTAGGTCACAACATCAGTCACATACGTAGGTTACAACATCAGTCACACAGGTAGGTCACATTATCAGTCACACAGGTAGGTCATAACATCAGTCACACAGGTAGGTCACAATGTCAGTCACACAGATAGGTCACAATGTCAGTCACACAGGTAGGTCACAATGTCGGTCACACAGGCAGGTCACAATGTCAGTCACACAGGTAGGTCACAATGTCAGTTACACATGAAGGTCACAATGTGAAATGTCAGTTACACAGATAATTATCCCCTTGCAACGAAATTTCGACACCCTTTAACATCGCTCTAACGACTTCATTACTGAACGGAATTTCATGAAACTTCATACAAGTGTTTGGTATGGCATTGCCTTGAACAAGTGTTAAGGTCAAGGTCCTTTTTAACTATTTTTAGGAAAACCATGTCATCGCTCTATCGACTTCATTCCCCAATGGAATAACAACATATGAACAAGTCCCATGTGTGTTCGTTGTGACATGACATGTGTATGATGTGACATACATATTGTTGATCGTGTCATTGGTTCTGTTTTAGTTTCGGTTCCTGAACAAGCTGTTACTGGTTCATGGTGCTTGGAGTTATGCCAGACTGTGTAAACTGATCCTGTACTCGTTCTACAAGAACATCTGCCTGTACGTCATAGAGGTATGTGTTTCCCGGACAATTCCTGTCAGATTTCTACAGTAAACAATAGATATGATGATACCATGTGTACTTAGTTACTGTAATTTTGTATTTCTATTCTATGTTAGGTATAGTAAATGGCTGTGAGGTCCAAGTGGGACACAATTTACTACTATTTTTCATTTGATTAGATTCTGACCAAATTATATTCTGTTTTTTTATGATGATACAAAATGAATTGTCTAGAAAAAAACAATTGTGTATTTAATGACAAAATTTAAAAGTCACTGTCAAGGAACTAATGGTAATACACAGGCTAGGGCTGAACTAAAAAGATCAACTATTTTTTAGTTTATTTGTTGTTTGAAATTTTGTTAAAATCATATATGATATGAATCATGGAATATTAATTGGTGTGTACCAGTAGTAACTGGAAAAGTGTGTGATGGGAAATATACTGGGGCAGTATAAAACAACAATATTTATAAAAGTTGTACCATAGATGTATATGCCATTGTGTAGAACTAGTGTTGTTATAGGGTGTGTTCACATATTCTTCTGATTAAATGCATTTGTTTTCAATTGAAAACGTGAAGATTCTGTAAAACCTTAAACCTGGAAACTGCGTTTTCTTTTGGCCGATATCTAGTATGTAAATGAAACATGATCAAAATAAGAAGTAAAATTGATAGATGATAAAAGTTTAGCTTTCAAATTGAAATAATGATATGTGTGAAACCATAGGAAATATCACATAAGGTAGTACTGCTGTCAGATAACTTCATTAAATTCCAATTAATTCATTTATAATACACAATTAAAATGTTACAAAATTATTAATTTTGGTCATTAAAAGGTGATCAAAAATAATGGTCCTTTTTAATGACTTTTTAATTGGCAATTAATTGTCTATTTGACGGTAGTGTATAAGCTGCCAGTGCTTGTAGATAGTCTGTGTGAAAGGTACACCCTATACAAACACTATGTAATGATACTGTTCATAACTTTGATACTTTTCAGTTGTGGTTTGCCATAGAAAGTGGTTTTTCAGGGCAAATTGTTTTTGAGAAGTGGACAATTGGTTTATATAACGTGGTATGTACCACATGAGTATGAAACTGTACTGTGATTGGATGTTTAGTGTGGCAGTTGCTTGGTAACCATGCTGATTAGGTGTTGTCTTTAGACGATTGGTCACTTAGATAATCATGTGACACTAGTGTGTCAGGATTCATTTCAAGTGACCCGTGTAGTAACATAATATTATATCTCAGATATTCCGGAAGGACTAAATTTATCTTTAAAATTGACCAATCAAATATGAGGTTAGAAGTGGTTATTCACTAATGCAACTGGAAATCCTGTATTTCATTGGTTAAGATATTATGCATTTAATTAAGAAGTACGACAGATGTGTGGAATATCTGAGATATGATAAATTCATACTATATATGTGACCTTGACTATGGTGACCTTGACCATGGTCAAGGTTTTATTAGGCGAGATTGGCTGAGGAATACCTCAGTTTGTTTGGAGGAAAATTCAAACATGCACATACATTTCAATTTTGTGACAAAATTGTAACTTTAGGCAACTTGTGTTGAACATCAGTAATTATATATAATATCTGGTAAGCCTAGCTGATCAAATCTTTACCAAAACAACTATACACCTGAAAGGGACCTATTTCCTTATTTCACCATAATACATATGGGGGCAGCCAGTATTAGGCTTTTAAGTTGTGCATGTGAGAATTTTTATCTAAACAAACTGATTTAGGCCAGGTTTCCAACATTACTGTGTTCCTTAGTGAGACAACCTGCATGTGTCTGTTTATTTTTTTCCTTCCCACAGTTTTGGTTTGCCATTATGAACGGGTTCTCTGGCCAGATCCTGTTTGAGAGGTGGAGTATTGGCTTTTACAATGTGGTAGGTACAAATGATTACAGTGTGGTAGGTACAAACTATTACAGTGTGGTAGGTACAACCTATTACAGTGTGGTAGGTACAAACGATTACAGTGTGGAAGGTACAAACTGTTACAATGTGGTAGGTACAAACTATAACAGTGTGGTAGGGACAAACTATTACAGTGTGGGAGGTACAAACTATTACAATGTGGTAGGTACAAACGATTACAGTGTGGTAGGTACAAATGATTACAGTGTGGTAGGTACAAACTATTACAATGTCGTAGGTACAAACTATTACAGTGTGGTAGGTACAAACTGTTACAATGTGGTAGGTACAAACTATTACAGTGTGGTAGGGACAAACTATTACAGTGTGGGAGGTACAAACTATTACAATGTGGTAGGTACAAACGATTACAGTGTGGTAGGTACAAACTGTTACAATGTGTTAGGTACAAACTATTACAGTATGGTAGGTACAAACTATTACAGTGTGGTAGGTACAAACTATTACAATGTGGTAGGTACAAACGATTACAGTGTGGTAGGTACAAACTGTTACAATGTGTTAGGTACAAACTATTACAGTATGGTAGGTACAAACTGTTACAGTGTGGTAGGTACAAACTATTATAGTGTGGTAGGTACAAACTATTACAATGTGGTAGGTACAAACGATTACAGTGGGGTAGGTACAAACTATTACAGTGTGGTAGGTACAAATGATTACAGTGTGGTAGGTACAAACTATTACAATGTCGTAGGTACAAACTATTACAGTGTGGTAGGTACAAATGATTACAGTGTGGTAGGTACAAACTATAACAGTGTGGTAGGTACAAACTATTATAGTGTGGTAGGGACAAACGATTACAGTGTGGTAGGTACAAATGATTACAGTGTGGTAGGGACAAACTATTACAATGTGGTAGGTACAAACTATTACAGTATGGTAGGGACAAACTGTTACAGTGTGGTAGGTACAAACTATTATAGTGTGGTAGGTACAAACGATTTCAGTGTGGTAGGTACAAACGATTACAGTGTGGTAGGTACAAACTGTTACAATGTGGTAGGTACAAACTATTACAGTATGGTAGGTACAAACTATTACAGTGTGGTAGGTACAAACTATTACAGTGTGGTAGGTACAAACTATTACAATGTGGTAGGTACAAACTATTACAGTGTGGTAGATACAAACTATAACAGTGTGGTAGGTACAAACGATTACAGTGTGGTAGGTACAAACTATTACAGTGTGGGAGGTACAAACTATTACAGTGTGGTAGGTACAAATGATTACAGTGTGGTAGGTACAAACGATTACAGTGTGGTAGATACAAACTATAACAGTGTGGTAGGGACAAACTATTACAGTGTGGTAGGGACAAACTATTACAATGTGGTAGGTACAAACTATTATAATGTGGTAGGTACAAACTATTACAGTGTGGTAGGGACAAACTATTACAGTGTGGTAGGTACAAACTATAACAGTGTGGTAGGGACAAACTATTACAGTGTGGGAGGTACAAACTATTACAGTGTGGTAGGTACAAACTGTTACAGTGTGGTTGGATCTATGTATTTCAATGTTGGGAAGTAAAAACTTTTACATTGTGGTTGATACTGGGTACCTAATATTACAGTTGGGTAGATACTAGGTAGGTTTAACAGTGTGCTAAGTATTACAATGATAGATATTACAGTGTGTAAGATATTCTAGTAAGGTTACACAGTGTGAAAGGTATAACTGTAGGATGTCAAGTACTACATTGAAGTTAGCTGAATATGTATTGTATTACGCTTACCTGGTACAACAAAAACTTGGTTTAATGACGCCAACAAACTTGAAAAAAGGGGGATGGGGTAAATTCAGGGAACCCTGCTATGCAAGGAAAGCAGGAAAAAAGGGGTGGGGGGGCTTATTACCAGGCTTGGGCTTGTCTTTGGTAAAGTCTGGTACGGTGTTAGGTATTACAGTATGGTACTGTCTGGTAGGTATAGGGGGCTGCGGTGGCCAAGTGGTTAAGGCGTCTGACATTCTGCTACCACTAGCTCTCCACCACTGGGTCGAAGCCTACGTGGGGCAGTCGCCAGGTAGTGGCCGTAGGGCGGTGGTTTTTCTGTTGGGAACTCCAGCTTTCCTCCACCACCAAAACCTGGCACGTCCTTAAATGACAATAGCTGTTAATAGGATGTAAAACACAAACAAACCAAAATGTTAGTAAGATAATCAATATCTTAAACAAGATTTGTAAACAAAGAATTACAAGGTTTAGAAACTATCAGTATCAATATTACAAATGTATGGACCTGAAGGAGAAAAGAATTTAATGTGCCATATAATATGGATATCAAATACTGTATAATTAGATCCACTATATGATGTAAGTAATAGTATAGATGTTTGTTTTATAATTTGATATATATTGTGCTATAAAGTGGCTGTCTCTGATCTGTGTGTATAAAGTACAATGTTGTATAGATATATACATATATATATTCCGGCTTTGCGTATTGCAGAGTTATCTTCTCTTGGGAGCAGGTATTGATTGTTACGTTATTGGTCTGTGGGAGAAAATTACGTCGTTTTCTAAAAGTTTGATGACATTACTATTACAAACAAGTGACGTAACAATCAATACTTGCTCCCAAGAGAAGATAACTCTGCAATACGCAAAGACGGATTATGAATCTTGATGGATGTGTCAATCACTTATTTTTTTCTGTGGAACACTTTTGGGTTGCTGATTTAGATTTAGATGGATTGTGGACTCCTTTTCAGTTTTTTATCCCTATATTTGTAAGCATATGAATTCGATACTTATAGTTGAAGTTAAAGAAATTGTAGACCCGGTAAATAATGATAATAAATGTGATGTAAAGATATTTTTCCGCGTGTAAACAGTAGAAGCACAATTAAAATGTAACACCAACAATGTATATATATAAATATACAATGTATATATATAAATATACAATGTATATATATAAATATACAATGTAAGCATATTTAAAAAAAAAAAAAAATTGGTCCAGTTGTAATTATATGGTACAAGTTGTGACCTGGGCACGTATTCATGAAACTGTTTTCATGCTCAATGCATGGATTCTGTGCTCAAGCCTAATTTCTTGTGACTCACTTCAATCATGTAAAACAATCAAAAAGTCAAGTGTAAACACTAAACATTATTTGGCTTTAAGTCTCTTCATTCTTTTCCAAATCATTGACAAAATAAGATTTTATTTTTAAATTATAACTCAAACAAGAAATTAGGCTTGAGCACAAAATTCATGCTTGAGCATTAAAACAGTTTCATGAATATGGGTCCTGGTGTATAGTTGTTTATTAGAGACCTGATTTGTGTATTGTCTTGTGCCCTCAGATATTTACTGCAGCCCCGCCGCTGGCCATGGGACTGTTCGACAGAATCTGTAGTGCTGAAAGTATGATGAAGTTTCCAGCACTTTATAAATCCTCACAGAATGCAGAGTACTTCAATGTCAAGGTCAGTTCATCAAGGTCAAGGTGAATGTTCCAATATGTCCATGTCAAAGTGAAATCTACATTGTACAATGTCAAGGTCACATTTAATGTTAAAAGTGAATCTTCAATGTCAAGGTCAGTTCATCAAGGTCAAGGTGAATGTTCCAATATTTCCATGTCAAAGTGAAATCTACGTTGTACAATGTCAAGGTCACATTTAATGTTAAAAGTGAAATCTTCAATGTCAAGGTCAGTTCATCAAGGTCAAGGTGAATCTTCTAATATTTCCATGTCAAAGTGAAATCTACATTGTACAATGTCAAGGTCACATTTAATGTTAAAAGTGAAATCTTCAATGTCAAGGTCAGTTTATCAAGGTCAAGGTGAATCTTCCATTATGTAATATTTATAGATCAAAGTGAAATCTACAATGTCTAGGGTCACATTTTCAATGTTCAAGTGAAATTTTCAATGTCGAGGTCACTTCATCAAATTAGAACATACCATGCATATGATATTTCCGTAGACAGTTAACTCATTCTCCCCTGAAATTTCATAATGAACTATTCCAACCTTTGAATTGGAAGAGTTCAAATGTGTCTTCATCAGGGGTGAATGAGTTAAATACTTGCCACTATATATTACTGATATGCCAGTGACGTTTTACTTTTACATATCCATACAGGTATTCTGGATGTGGATACTGAACTCAATCTACCATTCCATACTTCTGTTCTGGCTCCCTGCCCTATCTCTCAAACAAGGTAAGGGGCCACTGTTTCTTCATTATTTTAAGTGCATGTATTATAATTAGTCTCTCTCTCATTACTGGTTACCATCAGTGCAGAATATTTTTCTATGGTGTCCATGCCAGATATTGGAATATCATTGGTCAAGAGACAATGCAGTTCATAGATACTTAAACAGTGAGGTCATTATATCATTAACACGGCAAGGAAATATGAAGTTGCTTGAACTGTTGTATGTGCAGTTGAAATTTTCACATTGGATATCGAGGTGCAAGGAATAACCACGTGTTTCGAACAATTTTTGTTACATTTCATAAACACTGATAAAAAAGTTATAATCGTTAACTATTTAACCCTTTCACCACTGTAGACCAAAATGGACTCATCCAGATCAATGCATGGTAGAGTCCACTTAAGTTACACAGGGGTGAAAGGGTTAAGATAGGATCTTTATTCTGCTTGAAACTAAAAATGAAATTTGTTTTTGAAAAAAATAATGTTATTTGTAACTTTTAAGAATCTACAAGATGTAGATGATTTATTTCAATTTGTTTCAATTAATTTACATAATTAATGTAGATTCAAACTGTTTGCAAATTAGTTTTTTGTTTCATTAAGCTAGCAGGTTCGTTTATTGATGATGAACCGATATGCTCTCCGTAATTAATTACAAATGACTTCACTGTCCCCTGTTTTTATGTCCTAAATTTGACATATAATCACTAGTCCCTAGGGTTTGTTTGTTAAATCTGCCTTTTTCCTGTTACAGATTCTGCCTTTTCTGATGGGAAAGTTGGAGATTATCTATTTTTAGGAAATTTTGTATATACGGTAAGACACCATAAATGAATGAATAATTAGAAATTATAAAATCGCAATCAATTTTCTAGAAAACTCAAAGGGAATTGTTTAAATGTCAAAAAACTCTTGGTTTTTTTCTTACACATTCCTCCATTAAATTACATTGCACAGGTAAAATAAATCTACAAATCTATATTCAAGAATATGTGAAAGATATATTTAACTATATCTGTTGTTTCAGATAAGGTTTATTTGTCTAAATTTTGTCACAGGGTACTTTTATGACCCCTGCATATACATTAATATATCATAGATATTAATTGGTGGCAGTATCTCAATTACACTGCATTGTTATAAAAAGTAAAAAATTGTTTCTTCCACAGTATGTAGTTGTGACTGTGTGTCTTAAGGCGGGCCTGGAAACCAGTGCTTGGACCTGGGTATGTATTTCTATAAATAAACTATTCCTCCAGGTATAAATTTGTCTTGAACATAAATCGTGATTTCTTATTCTGAACACAGATGCTTATTGGAGTGACTATTGATAATAAACCCGGAGTGGACAGATGATTAATGGCTCAGAGATTTGATAGAATTCCATGAATAAATAATCTCTCAATATTCCAAGAATAAATATAATGAAATTGAATTGATTTTATCCAGACTTCTTATGACATGTTAAAATTGAACCAAGTGTATATATTATGTACCTGTACATTGTATTATGTATGTACATGTACGATGTATTATATATATACCTATACAATGTATTACATTATATATAAACCTGTACAATGTATTTTATACTTACTTACAATGTATTATGTACTTACAATGTATTATATACTTACAATGTATTGTATACTTACTTAATGTATTGTATACTTACTTACAATGTATTATGTACTTACAATGTATTATATATTTACAATGTATTGTATACTTACTTATAATGTATTGTATACTTACAATGTATTGTATACTTACAATGTATTGTATACTTACTTACAATGTATTGTATACTTACTTACAATGTATTGTATACTTACTTGTATTGTATACTTACTTACAATGTATTACTTCCAGCTGACACACCTGGCTATATGGGGCAGTATAGTAAGCTGGTTCCTGTTTCTCACTGTGTACAGCCATATCTACATGATAGTGGACCTCGCCCCTGAGATGTACGGCATGGTATGTCAGACAGGACAGGAGTCTGTTACAATATTATACCTGTTATGAAGAAATCAAGTTTCTGTAAATAAAATGAGAGTTTGAAATTGTAGGCCTTTAGGAAATTCTAAACCTAAATAACAATGAATCATCAAAACTTCAATGTCCAAGTACATAACACATTGATATGACCATCAAAACTTCAAAGTAAAGGTTTTTTCAATGTCAAGGTCACAATGTCATTGAGGTCAACTTCTCATGTGGTCACTTATGATTGTCTGTAGAATTTGTTATGAAACTTCATACATGTGCGTGTCATGTTAAGACGTCATGTTACATAACAGTCACGGTCAGAGTGAGGGGTCAAATGTCAAAACTTGCCGGGACCCTTGTCTCTCAAAGATTCCTTAAGATTTTGATTCTTCATCTTTGTCTGTAGCATGAGTAAGTGATGTGTCGCATAGCACTCCCAGGGTCTGTACCCCAAGGTCAAGGTCATGGCAAACGGTCAAAGGTCAAATCTTTGTAATGTGCAAAGTAAAGGTATATTTTGTCACTGTTATGATCTTATTGCCTGCAATGAATGCATATATTATGATAAAAATGTAGGGATGGGGGTGATGGAGGAGGGTATACTTGAGTGTTGCCTAGCTTATTGTTATTGCTAATTTAAGGATGCATGGTAGTCTAGCGGTAGGACACCGGGCTCGTGACCAAAGGGTTGCGGGTTCAAGTCACGACACAGCACGGTTTTGTATCTTTGAGCATAAATACTTTACTCCGCTTGTTCCAGTACGTGGTTGGGCAGTGCTAGAATTGATGAATGTTAGCTGGGAGCGCTGAAATGGCAGCACTTGCGGGTTTGAGTCACGGTACAGCACGGTTTTGTACCTTTGAGCAAAATACTTTACTCCCCTTATTCCAGTACGTGGTTGGGCAGTGCTAGAATTGATGAATGTTAGCTGTGAGTGCTGAAATGGCAGCACTGGCTGTATGCTCCCCAGGGAGTTGAGAAAGATGTTGACTGGTTGCAAAGGCCCTATATAACCACGGATAATAATTTGTGAACCGCTTTGAGATGACCTACGAACTAGGCTGTGATAAAGCAGTATATGATAACCTGGAATTATTATTATTATTATTAATTTAATGTTCTCTACACTCAGGACACCCACGTGTTCGGCTGCTCTATATTCTGGATGGGCCTAGTGCTTATTCCTCTGATGTCACTCATCCGAGACGTCGCATGGAAGGCGTAAGTACTGCAATTCTGTTATGATTTTTCTGCATTTTCTCCTCTTCTTAAAATGAAAGATGTCATGGTAAGCCGTAGGGTAGAATAACATCATATTGTATATTTGTACTAGCTACTTACATGGAAGTTGAACTCCATCATTCAGAGTGGAAGGAATTAGATATTTTTGTATTTATTTTCACTGGCAAACATGACAATCTATAACTGAAGCCTCAGTATTTGACCCAAGTTATAAAGACCCAGTTACCTGACCAAACCCTCCAGGTTATTGTGAGGTGTGAGGGTGCAAGTTTAACCTTTTCACCCCTAGGTAACTTGAGTAGACTCTACCCTACATTCATCTGGATGAGTCTATTATGGTCTACAGTGGTGAAAGGATTAAGTGATCTGTACATCAATGATGTTGATAAGTATGTTGAAGTTAAACTGATGAACCAATATTTATGATTTTCCAGGATTAAACGAACCATGTGTAAAACATTAAAAGAAGAGGTCCAAGAAAAAGAGAAGTTACACGAGGATCCTACACCTGTTGTACTGAAATTAACAAAGAAAAGGTAAGCCTGAAAAATCTAAAATTACGAAGTTAAACAAGAAAAGTAAGTCTTACAATCAAAATAATGTACGAGAAAAAAGGTAAAAATAGAAAGTTAAAGAAGAAAGGGAAGTCTTACAAATATAATCTCAGTATGCAAAGAAAAGTAAGTCTTAAAATCATAAAATTATGATTTAACAATGAAAGGTGATTTCTCACAAATCACAAAAATTTTGAAAGAAATATGTTTCCATAATCATTTATTAGGGACAAAACTAAAGAACAAAAATGGAAACAAAGGGAAGATACAAGGGATATTTTTTGTTCTATTAACTCATTCACCCCTGAAAATTCATAATGGACTATTCCAACCTATGGTTTGGAAGAGTTCAAATGTGTTTTAAGGGGTGAATTAGTTAAATATGTAACTCACAAATGTTTTTGTATTGCAGAGAATATTCCTAGTACTCCCTTACCTTGGACGTATTAACTCATTCATCCCTGAAGACACATTTGAACTCTTCAAATTCAAATGTTGGAATAGTTCAATGCATTAACTATGCTATTTATTTGGTAACATGTATTAGGATTTCCATCTTTAAAAATGCCAAGTTCATTTCTTTTGGATATTAGAATAAAATAAATCTGACAAGTCATGTTTTAATTTTTCTGCACAGATTGACAGAGACAGCCCGTCTGCTCCGAAATGTCTTCACACGATCATCGGGCAGAATGCCCACAGCAGTGGACCAACCTCGTAAGTCTTTCTGTCTCGTAAGAATCTTGATTTCAGTCGGACAATCTAAAAAAAGTGATACATTTTATTTGTATATTATGTTTTATTTCTTATAAATTATAGCATCACACGGTGTTGTACCATTTGTATCGTAATTTGTAAAGTACAATATGGTTAGTACCGGTAGATTGGTGTTTAGTATGTGTACAGAGGTAATACCCAACTTTTCTTAATAGCTCGTCACTTTCTGTGTATTTTTGTTTTTTTACTGAAATTTCGATTTTTGAAAAAAATTATTAAAGAATGTTTCATTAATGTTATGATAACTTTTTGCACTCCTATTAAAGATAATGTATAAAATCTGGGAGTTATTTAGCAGGCTCAAAGCTATTTATTATACATAATCCATACAACATGTATAGCCGTGCTTGTTATAATACAGTATTTAACTTGCTTCTTATCATATCAAACAAGATATAAGCTTCGGCGTAATGTTACCATATATAGGATTATATACTGGTTTTTAACTTCAACTAATATTTGAGGTGGAAAGTGGGTTAGATATTTAAAACATATTTATTTGCTACAACTAATTGATCATAGCGTCTAGGGGACATTGTCTAAGACATAAATTTTTTAGTCCTACAACAGATCAAGATAATGGATGCCGAGTACAAGAATTAAAACCTACAACATCATTAACCCTTTCACCACTGTAGACCATAATGGACTCATCCAAATCAATGCATGGTAAAGTCTACTAAAATTACATAGGGGTGAAAGGGTTGATAGTGTAATATACAATTAGGTCATTTACCATAAATCTTATTTTATACTTTTGTAACGAAACAAGGAGAAATAAGTCTATTTTGATAATGAAAAAAAGTTCAACTCTCTTACATACTTTAATGCTGGAAGTATTATTGATTCTGTATTGGAAGTGTGCCTTAACATTATCATCAAGACTGAAAGATGAAAAGTATTGAAAACCTATTCAAGATTCAAGAAGCTTTATTTAACGTCGCATATACATGAAACATAATAACATTAGCACTGTAGTGCTATTCTTGCGACCTATGAATTGTACTTTGATAGTGTCTGTAAGAACTATTTTAAATTCTGTCATCCTCACAAGAGAAGCTTCAGTGTATGTTGTTTTTGTGATTTTCCCTCCATTACTGTGTATTTCTCCCGTGTTTGATCGACTGTCATATATGTGTCTTTTCTTTGTTCTCTCTGTATCGCTCTCACCCTGTGTATGTATGTGGAATATATCAGAACTCGTTCATCTCAGGGAGCAGGGCTTGGACGACAACAATACGAGTTGTGCTTGATGAACTTATTCTAATTTTAGAAAAGAAAGAAACATTTGGGAATATATGTGTGTATATGAATTTTGAGGAAAAATACAATTGCTATGCAACTGTCAAGGTCAAGGCATCAAATCAAGATGTGTCTTCCAGCAGACAAACATATATTGTTGATAATTGTTTTGTGTGCCATAAAATTGAAATTACATATTTTCTTTAAGAAGATTGTAAATAAATATGAAGTTTTCCGAATGGTTTGTGATATTGTTGTTTTCTTGAGAATAAATTCCAGGAACTGAAATTGCCACAAAAAAACAATTTCTCACTTAAATAAAACTTATTTTGATCAACACTAATACATTTTATTTTGTTTAAAAGCTCGTAGTCCTAATTTTATAATTTTGAGATTTAATTATTTTGATTTTGGTTAGAAAATAATTTATGTCATGAAGCACAACTGCCGACTTGTTTATACCCCCCCACACTCATTGATTTACTACACTTTATTATTTTATCACCATGGAAACAGTCATCACCCGATGCTACTTTTGCCTATATGTTAGGTAACTTTTGTTACGGGAAGTCTTTTACGAAAATGCAAAGGTAACAATTTATATCAATAAAACCAATGCATGCGAGCACCATCTGTTAAAGTGCTAATATACATGTTACTGGTGTTATCACTTTGATATTGACCTACACAGCTGATATCCGATAAGGATTAAGTATTAATCCGTGATTTTACATCTCGATCCCATTCTTTTAAATGCCTGCTTTCCAAAGCACGAGATGAGTTTCCATGGTGATTTTTTTTTTTTTATCATTTTTTCTGTTAACTTCATCCTTTGGTTTTGCGACAGCTCCCTCACCCACGCCATCACGTAAGTTATTCCCATAATCCTTTGCTGCTCTTACCACGCTTTAAAGCTGACATATTGTTGATATGTCAACCATGTAACCAGATCACCGTGACTACCTACAGTCATCTAGATGGCTTGATGATATGCAAATCATATGTAAATGACATGTTAATGATATGTAAATGATTTCTAAAACATGCAAAGTGTGTTTACATATTCCACAATGAGCGATAGTTGTTTATCATATTTATTTAGTTGATCAAGTTATCTAATTTTGAAATTTCTAGAAGACATAAGGTTTACCAAGTGTCTTTTTGAAATTTGAAATTTTGATAACCTAAGTTAGATAAATGTGATAAACTACCGTCTCGAGTTCTGGAATTTCTTTCTACCATAACCTGTTAAACATTATTTATCAGCTTTTTTGCTAAACCAAATGGAACACTTCCTTTTGGCAGGCCACTTTCTATCCCCGTCATAGATTTCAATATGACTTTTGTGACCTCATATTTGAAGATATACCAAAATACCAGGTCACAAGTTCTTTCAAAGTTAATGAAATTGCTTAATACCAGGTCACAAGTTCTCTCATAGTTAATGAAATTGCTTAATTGGCATAACACATGTGTATATTAATTACACAAATAATCAATGGTAACACCTGGTAACACATGGTCTGAGCATTATGTAACACAGGTTATGATGGAAAGCTGATTACTGTTAGAGAGAGGAAAGCATGAGGTTATTAGATGTAGTGTCATTACCGATTGGTCAGGGGTTCACAACTCAGTTTTCTAATAGCAAAGTTTGAAAACTGATTTGACATCAGAACTGTTTGGAGTTTATAAGGTAAAACATTTCAGAATATAATATGTGTAAAATGACTTCAGATTTACCCAAGTAACACAAAATGCCGGGTGACAAATTAATTTTCAAAATTTGACAACGTTTCGGCCATTAGATCCATGGGGCATTTTACTTTTGCCCTGCATTGCAAACAACTAGCCATGAATTCATTGTCCAGGTATAGTCAAACCTGGTAACAAAATTATCAATAATAAGGTTCTTTCTTTGTCATTATTTTATTCTATTGTCTTCAACTCCGAAACTTTCCGAAACATATGTAGTTAACGACCTAGAAAGGACAGAGGAAGCCACCAAGTGAAGATTATAAATTAATAGATTTATAAATACATCATTTATTGTTAAAGTGTTTTAGAATAAATGCAACATGTTGATTGGTGATTAATAAATATTGAAAGCCGTGTTTTGAGTTTTAAGAAATCAAAACATAAATTTCTCCGCATTTTGTTTCCAGCAAGTATTGATCCCCCATGTATTAGTATAATTTCGGTATAACGCTACGACTGATCGATGTTGCCAGCTTAACACAGAACAGGTAGACAAAACTTAGAAATTTCTGAATGACAAACCTCATATATTACATGGTAAGGTAACTAACTGAGGCTGCAAATTATATCAACTTTTAACAGTGGGGAAGGATCTAAAGGAAAGAGGGTATGAAATTTAAACTGTCACACTTACGACAAGTTTTTGTATACAGCCTATAAAAGGAGGTTGACTGTGATCCATAATGTTTCTATTTCTGAGCTCAAACTTCTGCTTAACTTTTAGATGAGATACGGTATATACGACGATAAACAATGAAATAGTTAACTTTTGAGGAGGACGGCTTGGCAAATGACTTCTTAATTTGGTTAATTCTGGCCAATAAAACCAGGATTTGTATTCAGGAGATACATGCTAGCAGATTGATATTATTTATGCGTAGCTAAATATGCAAGAGGTTCCTCATATTTAACCTTGATACGTGATGTAATATAAAATGGTTAACAGCTAGATCTTACAGACCGGACAGAAATCGTAAACTTGATTAAATGGAAATAGATCCGTTGACCTTTTTGACCTTTGTCTACAGTCGTTGTGGCCTATTATATAAGGTTCCGTCCAGTCCTATATCCTGCTAGGTCCCTCGTAATCATGTATTTAACTGGTCTCCAGAAATCATATTCATAATTTACTTCTTTAGTAAACATGTGTAAAGTTAGCTTTATTTTAAAATTAAAAATGTTGAATACAAGTTCGAAGTGTCTATTACTATTTAACAGGAAGTATAGAATATATTTACATTGATCCGACTCCAGAAATGTAACAGCAGCTGACAAAAGTACAGAATATCTATCTATATAAAGTATTGATCTGTCTATAGTGTAACAGGTTGTATACAAGATCATCTTCTGTTTTAGGCTCTACAGTGGCAATGTCTCTGTAGGATTTTAATATCAGCTGTTCTACATCACAAATTTAGCATTACATTGATGTGTTAGGGTTTTTCGAGACCAGAACAACAGAAAAATAAGTTTCATGTAACTTTTTTTTTTTAAATAGTTGTTCAAAGTTTTAGTATGTGTCAGTAATTGGTCATTCATATTGCTGACATATGTGTCATAATTTTTCTCATCATTTCCTGTTTGTACAGTCATTTGCATTTGAGTATGAGGTGAGTAAGGACACGGTCAGATCTAAATTGACCCATGTACTCGTCTTCTGTCAATGAGAATTGAACAATAACACAAGGAAACAAATACGCCAGAGAGATTATGTTCAGTATAGCATCTGTAATGTGACACTCTGTGGCCTTTTGTTCAAAGTTTAGATAGAATTTACATTTCATGTATTACACATTATTTTGAACATTTAAAATGTGTTTAATTCTAAAAAAAAACTCATCTAGACAAACATTTATCTTTGAACAACTATTTGAAATCAAAATGTTGCACTTAGGGATTTATTCTTTTCTTTACTTATGATAACAACAATAGGCCCAAGGTCCAGCATATTATGAGTCAGAAAATTAATTCTGGATAACTTTAAAATGGTTATACAAAAATGTTCCAGAGTCAGTGGAACACATGAGCATTTTGAACAACTGGGACTCTTATCTCCAAGGCTAAATTGTAACACTTACCTGCTTTAATCAAGCCCAGACCACAATTCCTGGAGTTTCGATCCGGACCTTTTATATATAACTAGATCACACTTCCTGAGGGTTCCAAATCATACTCCCTTAGGGTTCCAGATCACCCTCCCTGAGGGTTCCAGATCACACTCCCTTAGGGTTCCAGATCACACTCCCTTAGGGTTCCAGATCACACTCACTTAGGGTTCCAGATCATACTCCCTGAGGGTTCCAGATCACACTCCCTGAGGGTTCCAGACACACCTTATATATATATAACATGATGCTCATACTAGATTGAGTTTGATAGGTTATACTTTTTGTCCTGAGTTGTACAAATTCTCTTGCATTTCAATCAAATATATCATTAGGTTACAACCAAGGACGCTTTAGAGTAAAACACATATATTCACATCCTTCACTTTTAGCTGTAGTTACCTCCCTTGCCTCCAGATCTCCATACACTCAACAGTATTTTACTACTTTTTATCATTGTTTCAGTATGATTTTGATGTAAGTCTTTACTCATTTATCCTTTTCTTTGATATTTTGGTGTAAACACTAGCCCAAAACTGCACAAGGGAGAAACTATGTCAGCCTGGGCGATTGTCCTATGCTCATTATCTTCCAAAGAAATCAACAGAACTCTGACTGAAAAGACATTTATCTGAACAAGTGTTTCTGGTATAACGACAGTCAATACTACATACATAGAAAGTGAAAGTACGACACTAAGGCAAGTGACCTATGTATCTGATACACTAACACTAACTGGTGTATTTTGTAACTGACCGATGTATTAGGCTAGTAACCTTGACTGATGTCTCCAGTCATACAGGCAGATTTGTTCAGTACACTGACCAATGTGTATATATACGGTGACAAAGGCACTTAGAGGTATACTTTTCTGTTAAAGGGAATTTTTTATTATCCATGGGACTGTTTTGCTTATCCCATTTTGATACATTTGTTTAAATTTTTGTATTTCAAGGTCAGAATCGCTTAAGCTCAAGATCTGGTAAATCACCTAATAATGGCACATCTATATTATCAGTTATCTCCAGCATGGCAATAAACAAGTCTTTCACGTCTTGTATATATCTGGATGTATTTCTTCTACTTGGAGGCAAGCTAGCTAGCCCCTGCAGATTCAGGGAAAGAACAGAATTGCTGTAACCAACCAACTGCATGCTATCGTATGAGGCAGATTATGTGGGATCATGTGTCCCCAGTCACTTGTGTTTGTATGATAAAGATAGTGTGCCTACTTGCCAACTCTCCCTATTTAGGAGGGAGACTCACGATTTTGAAAACCTTAAATTTAGTATTTTCAACACAGTGAATTTGCAAAACTATTCCTATATTTTTAATCTTATGATTTCACCTAAAAGAACAACCCAAATTATATCGTTTTAAAGAGCTATGGTTTTTTTCTAGCACCTAGGTATATACACACATTTGATTGATGTTAAAATTTTGAGCATGCAAAATCCCCCCCCATTGAAATTTCAAAAAGTTAGGTGTGAGGATGTTTAACCTGAACAAAAATAAAAACAAAATCAGGTTATCACTTCTCAACCAATTTCAAACTGTCGTCTTAAAGGAGAGATGAGACTAAAGTGTTCACTATACTGCTGGTCAGCCATGACTAATGTCCACCTACTAGATAATGTGATAAGTTAAGACCAATGACGGCCATTACACTGGCAATTTAGACTTGCCATAAAGTTGAGATGGGAAATACTTGAATTAATTCAGATAATTTTGATGTATCTACTTAAAGAAATGTGATACCTGTAGGTTGAGCTTGATAAATGAAATGTATCATAATGATATGATTTATGTTACTACCTGGTAATTAAAACTACATAAAGACGACATGTTATATACAATGATAAAACATCCTCTATCGTCATACTCTTGTTAGCTGCTCACTGGAGTTTTATATCATTATCGTCAGAATGGCTCATTTTCAGTATTAAACAGTAGAAAATTTTGTTTGTGGGATATTTCTAAAATAATTTTCTCTCGCCTACCCAGTGGACCATGCTTTTTTTCTGTGTGTAATTTGTTAAATAGATTTATAAACAAAGTCAGTGATATAAACCATGCATTGAGATAATTGAAATGATGATCTAATGACCTTAGGTCAATCAGAGGTGGGTCACTGCTTATATTACAAGAACCTGATACCAATTTTATTACCCTGGTACATAGCACTTAACTTGTGACTACCTAGCTGTGCAAATGTGTACTGGCATCTACTGACCCAGGTCAATCAATATCCCATCACTATTCATATCGCATTTCCCTAAACAGCAGTGCAACTTGTGACTACCTAGCTGTACAAATGTGTTCTGGCATCTACTGACCCAGGTCAATCAAATATCCAATCACTATTCATAATGCAATACCCTATTACACAGCACTATAACTTGTGACTACCTAGTTGTACAAATGTGTACCAACATCTGATTGTATTTACATGATTTATTTCTTTGGTACAACTGCAAAGAAATCATTTTTTATATCTAAAAGATGATGGTGGGGTAGGAATAAAAAAAATCATTTTACAACATTGATTTATTTGGTTATGGTGATTAAAAAAAATCAATCCCTGAAAAAATTAGCATGTTACACGGAGGAAAGTATTGAATATTTATATTCATATATCAGAAGGTTGTCAGGTGACATTGTGACATCTTGGTGGTAGGAAGGATTAATTATTGTTTCCTATTTTCCTTGCAAGATCAGGTTCTTTTCTCCTAAGCTATACAAACAGATTGTTCTCCATATTTAGCATGAATGGATCAGCTTCTTTCACATATAGCTGTATGCTGAAAACTGAACTTTTGAAACTAAAATACGTATTTATGTGATGTTAAACGTAAATGGATTGGCAGTCTATTTGCACGCCAAAGTAATCATCATGTTCCAGATATATTTTCGTAGGTGAATGCATATAGTCATTAACACATGCATCCCATATTAACCCTTTTTCGTTCAAGATGGCATTTTAGGCAAGGGACATCACTCTAACCATGATTTAAACACATGGTTCAATAACATTTTATCATTTCACTGTTTCTATTTTTACACACATTATTGTTAATTTAATTTCAGTTGATCACAATAACTTCATATTTTATGTTAAAGTAAAATTTATAATTTCATTTTGGTTAATGAAATGCAATATACTGGTACTTTTTTATTTCGCTGTTCAGCTGTTTCCGTTCAGTCAATTAATTCTGCTTGCCTTTATTTATAGACATGTAGGTTTTGAAGCACATTCACATTGAGTAAGAATTTCCATGTAGCTGTGATCTGGTTATTTTATGCAATCCTTGTATATAACCATGTAAGACAAACAGTCCATTTCTGTGCTTTCAGATGGATATGCTTTCTCCCAAGAAGAGCATGGTGTCCTTACTCAGGTAGGCAACGGGCAAAGCTCCTGTCATCACGACGTTGTGTAGTTCTTAAAGCTGCACTCTTTAAGTACTATAGGGAGCCTAGATAGATACATCTCAAAAAGTCAAAGCAGTATTGTGGGAAAAGTTATTTGTATAAGACTTGAAAAAAAGCAAATACAAATCCTTGATACAGAAATCGTTGTTTTAAATGACAGCTAGTTGTGATTTATAATATCATGAGAAACCTTCGACAGTGACACAATGAAAGGTGGAATGAAAAATGTAAAATTACCTAAATATCTGTTAATTCTGACCCCAAAATGTTCTATAAAAGTTACAGACCCTAAAACTGGGGTTGATATTTCGGCATGAACTTTGGGGATGATATTTCTGTATGAACTTTGGGGTTGATATTTCTGTATGAACTTTAGGGTTGATATTTCTGTATGAACTTTGGGGATGATTTTTCTGTATGAACATTGGGGTTGATATTTCTGTATGAACTTTAGGGTTGATATTTATGTATGGACTTTGGGGTTGATATTTCTGTATGGACTTTGGGGTTGATATGGGGATGATATTTCTGTATGAACTTTGGGGATGATATTTCTGTATGAACTTTGGGGTTGATATTTCTGTATGAACTTTGGGGTTGCTATTTCTGTATGAACTTTGGGGTTGATATTTCTGTGTGAACTTTGGGGTTGATATGGGGTTGATATTTCTGTATGAACTTTGGGGTTGATATTTCTGTATGAACTTTGATAAGATTTTATAATGTAGCTAGTTGAATTACTACGGTTGTTTACACATTTCAGGCGGAGCTCATCCGAGTCTATGACAGCAATAAGGATAAGCCTGAAGGACTATAATGTGAATATCAGTATTACTCTGTGTTGTGTCCCTGCTACAGTCCTGTGTGCAATATAGGTAGAATCAACCATCAATCATCACGATTAATCAGCCATCATCGGGAGTAGTCAACAATCACACTATCAGAACTTACGGACCACCATACCGTCGGAATAACTGATCATAATACGGTCAGGTTCAATCCATCATCGGACCGCCAGGATTAACTGACCTAAGCTTGCCATCGTGATAGTGTTGTCAGGATTTATCATTGATCATTCGTTCGAATAAAATCACGGATTTAACATATTGACCATCATTATAACTGTCATGATTAAACAAACTATCAAACTAGTGGGATCATCTAACTACTGGGATTAACCTACCATCATACTTTTGAGATTGACCCACAATGGTACTCTTGTGATTGGCTTACCATCGCACTGTTGTGATTGACTTACCATCGTACTGTTGATGATTGGCACACAATTGTTCTGTTGTGATTTACCCACAATCCTACTATCAGGATTGGCTTACCATCGTACTATCAGGATTGGCTTACCATCGTACTATCAGGATTGGCTTACCATCGTACTATCAGGATTGGCTTACCATGGTACTATCAGGATTGGCTTACAATCGTACTATCAGGATTGGCTTACCGTCGTACTATCAGGATTGGCTGGCTTACCATCGTACTATCAGGATTTACAATCGTACTATCAGGATTGGCTTACCATGGTACTATCAGGATTGGCTTATCATGGTACTATCAGGATTGGCTTACCATGGTACTATCAGGATTGGCTTACCACGGTACTTTCAGGATTGGCTTACCATCGTACTATCAGGATTGGCTTACCATGGTACTATCAGGCTTGGCTTACCATAGTTCTATCAGGATTGGCTTTCCGTGGTACTATCAGGATTGGATTACCATGGCACTATCAGGATTGGCTTTCCATCGTCCTATCAGGATTGGCTTACCATGGCACTATCAGGATTGGCTTACCAACGTACTATCAGGATTGGCTTACCGGGGTACTATCAGGATTGGCTTACCGGGGTACTATCAGGATTGGCTTACCGTGGTACTATCAGGCTTGGCTTACCATAGTTCTATCAGGATTGGCTTTCCGTGGTACTATCAGGATTGGCTTACCGTGGACTATCAGGATTGGCTTACCACGGTACTATCAGGATTGGCTTAACATGGTACTATCAGGATTGGCTTACCATCGTACTATCAGGATTGACTTACCATGGTACTGTTGGTGATTAGCCCACAATGATACTGTTTGGATTAACCAACCATCACATTGTCAGGATTGACGGATTATTATAACTTCAGGATTAAACTGACCATCTGTTGGGATTTATCGACCATTGTAGTGTAGGAATCAATCGTTAGGAATAAGTAACCATCATACTGTCAAGGTCAATCAGACATCCGATCCCACCTGTCTATATACATCTTATATCAGTTTTATTATTTTATAATGAGGAGAGGTAAAGTGAGGACAGATTACTTTACAGATCTGTATTGTATCATTGTTGACCTTATTTCATTGTTACGTGTTGTCATGGTAACACACCTGTATGTAAGGATGGATGAGTGAGACTGTGTGCTTGCTGTCAGGTACTGTTATATGCTACCAATTTAATAAAAGTGTTTCATGTACATAAAAGATAAAGTGTTTTTTTAAATCCTAGTTCGGAATTCTGATTACCAGGCCAGAAAATGTCAGTTTGGACTCTGTTGCCTGGTTATCTGGCCGTCTTAAGTTGTTGAACTTCAGTAAATAAAGAAACAGAGTAATGTTCCGTCAGTCTAGATACAAACTTATAATATAAATACTAGGAACATTTACCTAGTATCAAAGTCAACTTTAATAAAACATTCAATTTCAACATCTTTCTGCTGAAGCTGTGTCACTGTTTATAGTCTGTAGATGGTTGGAATAGTTCATTATGAAATTTCAGGGGTGAATGAGTTGATAAAAAGTAGAATGCTCTCCAATATTTATGTACATATATGTATTCAGTTTAAAACAACAAAAGAAAGGTTGTAGATATTACATAAATATGAGTTAAGGAAGGTGCAGACTTTTAGCCTGTAGAATTTGTTGTTTTCCTATCTATTATTGTGGTAATTTATTTCTTAAGACAGAAGAAGAATCATATATATTATATATATATCAAATATCTAGTGTTATGGTCATAAGAAAGGGTACACAATCATGTTGCTAGTATTTGCATGGATTTTTTTGACAAATGTATTATATTATGATAGTAAATATTTTCTTCAAAATGATATAAGTAGTATTCAATCGAAATAACTGCCTTTATTTTGAATCTCACATAAAATGATTGATCCAAATTGGCTTGGATTCATGATCAGCTTCCGGACATAAAGGGGTTTATTGGGTGAATGACAGAGAGGGAAACATTGTTGATTGTCTCCCTCGGGCTGATGTGTAAGATTAGATGTACAGAAAGCGTGAATGTGATAAATGAGAATTTAATCAAGGGTTATATACAGTATGTGTATGTTTGAATTAAGCAGATCTGTATAGGTCTGTATGTAGTACTGGTACTCGCTCTTCTCTACAAGGGCGAGCCTTCAGTATGAAGTAATCGGAAGTACATTCAGATACTCTTGTCTATGTAACCAAGTATTCTGTACTCTTAAATTTTTTTCCTGATGTAAAGTGATACAATATACATATATATATATACATATTTCTTGTCTCAATTTCCCCTTTAATCTAATCAAACAGTTTTATTTTCTATTTGTATTATCAAGTCAAACTGAGATTAATCCACTCAAATGTAAATATCGGTACTATAACCTGTATTTTATTTAATGCTGATTTATAATTATTCTGGTTTTGTGGCACATACACTATCATATCATTATCACAGAGTAGAAGAAATTTTACCAGAAATATATAACAGATTATTTTATTTAGTTCTAAAAATCTACAAACTTATTCCAAATTCATTTTTTTCTTCACTCAAGACTTAAAAAACCTAAATTGATTTTAACAACAGTTTTAGATTTACAAGATTTCAAGAAAAATGGAGATAAGGAAAGTGTATTTTTTTGTTTTAAGAACAAAATTCCTGTAAGCATCAAAAGAAATCAATGGACTCATGCTGGAGATTAATTCGAAAATAATATTAAAAAAATGACTGATTTGAAATAAATGCCAAATATTTTATGGCAGAAAATGATTTTTTAATGTGATAGAATTATAGATTTGTCGCCATGCATGACAATGATGTTTGTCCTGTGTTGCCTTCTAGTCATATTGTTAGTGCCATGCCATCTCTAAGTGTAACCAAGGCGTTCTCCTTGTTATCCAATTAGAGTTGGGTCACAAAATGCTGAAGATGAATCAATTTAAAGCCATCAGACTTTAGTAATTTTATATTTTATAAATTTATATACTCTGTTAGTTACCAGATATATAGAGATGTAGGATATGAATGAGATTGTATTTTATCCCTTAATTATGTCGGTTTTATCACTGATAAACAATATGTTACAGGTAAATGTATACATGCTGCAGAGTATAACCACCTTCATGGCTTTCCATTGGTCACTTTTGACCCCACATGATTTTCATTGGTCCCTTTTGACCCCTAATCATTTCATTGGTCACATTTGACCCCAAACGATTTTCATTGGTCAATTTTAACCCCAAATGATATTTCCTTGGTCAATTTTGACCCCAAATGATTTTCATTGGTCAAGACTTGACAATGCACAGTGAAATAGTTCTTCATATCAAACTTTCTAAAAAAAATAAAAATATTACCATAATTGATTCAAACAATAAATGATTGATTACAAAATGAAATAAATTTTTAATGAAGATATTTTTATTCAGCAAACAAATTGAATTGTTCTACTTCTTATACTGCACTGAAGGATAGTCTCTTTAGAGTTTTACCAAACTGTAACATACTATATTGGATGTTTAGCCTTTCAACAATGTAGACCAAAATGGACTCATCCAGATCAATGCATGGTTTGGTTTGGTTTGTTTGTGTTTTACATCCTATTATCAGCTATGGTCATTTAAGGACTTGCCAGGTTTTGGTGGAAGAGGAAAGCCGGAGTTCCCGGTGAAAAACCACCGACGGACGGCCAGTACCTGGCAACTGCCCCACATAGGTCTCGAACCAGCGACCCAGCAGTAGAGGGCTAGTGGTAGCAGAAGGTCAGACGCCTTAACCACTCGGCCGCTGCGGCCCCTTCAATGCATGGAAGAGTTTACTAAAGTTACATAGGGATGAAAGGGTTAACTCATGTTACAGTTTCATTAACCCTTTCACCACAATTGTCCATCATGGACTCATCCAGATGAATGTATGGTAGAGTCTACTCAAGTTACCTAGGGGTGAAAGGGTTAACTCATGTTACAGTTTCATTAAAAAACAATTAGACACAGCTGCCTTTCACTGAACTTCTCTGTTATATATATATGAACACCCCAACAGTACGCGTGTTTCGATTTTAAAAGTATTTTCACATGATATTAATCTATCAATGCACATGATTGTTTGATACACATGTAGATATTTTATTTGCAAACTGATTTGTAAATCAATTTTTGAATTAAGTATTTTTAAAATAGTTTCTAATCATCTTTTATATCACAATGAAGCTGGCCAAGGCTGTTTCAATGATCTCAACTATTTTTCATTTACATAAACTTTAAACATTGCTCGATGGGAAGATTTAATTGATAAAATGGTCTTCGTTTAGATTGAAGGGATGTTGATGGGTATCAGTAATAATTAAAATCACTTTTATTGCCAATCATATTTGTTTTCCAAATTGGCGACACGCTTGCTGAATTTCAAGATGGTTTTCATTGTCTGCTTTGAACATTTTTTATTTGGTATAACTGTTTCCTCACTCTTGTTTTGATGTTGATCCCATTTATTTAATCTTTTTTAGTTGAAATCTTTAAATTATTCCTACTTTTTTACAACATTATTGGAATACGGATCATCCTGAATTTATCTAGTTCGGTATATTTCAATCAAAAGACCTGATTGGGTAAATCATTATATTGTATGTGCATGGCCACACATCGCTATGGCACATGTGATTGTTTGTTTTGTAGTTATGAAATTTAATAAAAACTGAATATTAAATAGTTATTGTTAATCATAACAACAATTTATTCATATTCACAGACTTTTTTCATACAATAAGTCAATAACACTATCTTTGTGCACAAATAACTTCGTCAATCAAACCAACTCTATGTAGAATGATTGATAATAATTCTTTCAATGTTTAAAATTTACATTAAATTCGTTTTTCTCTTATTAGAATGCATGTAAGTACATATATATAGAAACTAACACAGAAGGTATACTGGGTTACTTGTATTATCATCAGTTCATATGTAATCGGTTACCCATGTTACGGGTTACCTCAATATTGGGTTACCTGTATTATCAGTTCCTATGTATTTGGTTACCTACCTGGTATGCTACGGGTTACTTAAATAATGGGTTACCTGTATTATTTGATTCCTATCTAATTGGTTAGCTGTGTTATCTAGGTTACCTATATAAAGGGTTATTTGTGTTACCTAGGTTACCCGTGTAACCTAGGTTACCTGTGTTACCTAGGTTACCTAGGCTACCTGTGTGACCTAGGTTACCTAGGCTACCTGTGTTACCTAGGTTACCTATAGTATGTGTTGCCTAGGTTACATATATAATGGTTAACCTGTGTTACTTAGGTAACCTTTATAATGTGTCACCTGTGTTACCTAGGTTACCTGTGTTACCTAGGCTACCTGTGTTACCTAGGCTACCTGTGTTACCTAGGCTACCTGTGTTACCTAGGTTACCTGTGTTACCTAGGCTACCTATAGTATGTGTCACCTGTGTTACCTAAGTTACATATATAATGGTTAACCTGTGTTACTTAGGTAACCTTTATAATGTGTAACCTAGGTTACCTATATATTGGGTTACCTGTGTTACCTAGGCTACCTGTACTATCTAGGTTACCTATATGTTGGGTTACCTAGGTTACCTTTATAATAGGTTACCTAGGTAACCTATATAATGGGTTACCTGTATAATATTAACATGTAGACAGAACAACATTACAGACCTTTATACAGTGTAGGAGATAATGTGTATGAACGTTTTATGTTCCCCCGAAGTAGTGTAATAGCCGATTGTTTTGTACGTTAATCCCTAGTTTCCCAGACATACACATGGTTCATTGACTATTCTGTTGAGTCCCTTTAAGAAAATATATATTAGTTCTTGTAACTGACATGTTTTTGAGTTAATGCATTTACATAGAAATCAGAAATAAATCTTTTTTCTTTTTTCAAATTGACTTGTTCGTTTATTATTTTCTTAATGTTTGTGGTAACATAAAAAAACCTGCAAATTTGCGGGGAATATCGGGGCTATGTATAATCAGAGAGCCAAAAGCCCCGTGCAAATTATCGGAAAACTGTTTTTGGTTCACAAGTACAGATTATGAACACCACAATCAACTTAGGAATCAACGTGCCACTGCAGGTAACACACTAAATTAGTTGTTAAAGGTAACAGTATAATACTAACGAGGTCCAGGGTTCTAATCCAGGTCTGGCCTCAATGCATGTATTACACTCGGAACACAATTAAAGATTTTTATTAGTTTTCACTTGGCTCCACAAAGTGTGGTTCCTTTTCAGAAATGATTTATCACAGCTATAGGCATGTCAGGAAAACAGGTTTCCAGTGCATAGCTACAGTTTTGGAAGTGGTAGGGGATCCTAAGGAGCCACGACTGAAGTAATAATGATAATAATAATTTGAGGTTCTTATATACCGCTTTATCACAACCTAGTTCATAGGTCGTCTCAAAGCGGTACAGCCAGAGCTGCTATTTCGCTGCGAACAGCTAGCATTCAACAATTCTAGCAATGCCCAACCACGTACTCATTTACAGCTGAGTAGACTGGAACAAGCGGAGTAAAGTATCTTGCTCAAAGATACAACACATTCCGTGCCGTGGCGCGAACCGGCAACCCTTCGATCACGAGCCCGGTGTCCTACCACTGGACTACCGTGCCTCCTGAGTACACTTACTCAATCTGCTACACTGGTGTTAGTAGCAAGCTTCTGGGTGGATCTAGACCACAGTGCAATGTCTTGGAGCAGTGAACTTTCTGTCAATTCTACAGGGAAAAATCCTTTTTGCGATCAAAGTAACTCAATATATTACTGTCATTACCCAAAGTTTTATCTGGCATCACCAACACCAGACACCAGGTCAGCCTATTTTCATTGCCTCCTCTTTCATAACATTGGTTACACGATATTTTATCTTATACGTCATATATAATAAGTACACAGGTTAATAGGAATATTAACAGGATCTGGCAACAAGATTTAAAATCTTATAAAAAGCCATCTCCCTTGTTATGTAATTACATTAATTAACTAATACTCATATATTGTTTAAATTATTTTTTAGTAACAGTTTGTGATAATACTGACCATTTCATGTGATGAACCAAAAATAAACAAGAGGCCCAGAGGGCCTGTATCGCTCACCTGAATATGTTTAACATAATTGGTATGAAGTAAAGATATATCACTCCATGGTAGGTGCTGTAAGTACATATGAAATTTCAGAATGATCCATCTAGTACTTGAGATAAAGAGAGAACAAACTTCAAACAGAGCCCCACCCCTATGCCCCTAGGGGGAGTCATACCCACCAATCATGCAAAATTGAGTCCCCTTAACCCAAGGATGTTCCAGACTAAATTAGGATAAAATCCCTTAATCCTGATGGTCAAAGAAGGATTTTAAAGGTTTTACCTCAATTTCTCCTATTGAGTCCCGCCCTTCTGTCCCCTGGGAGACCACACCCACTGCTTATACAAAATTGAGTCTCCTTTGCCCAAGGATGCTCCAGACTAAATTAGGATAAAATTCCTTAATCCCTATGGTAGAAGAAGGATTTTAAAAGTTTTACCTCTATTTCCCCTATTGGGCCCCACCTCTCTGCATCCAGGGGGGTCAGACACACTGTTTATACAAAATAGGTTCCCCTTCACCCAAGGGTGCTTCATACCAAATTTGGACAAAATCCTGTCATTCCTACAGAAGAAGAAAGATTTTGAAGAATTTGCTATGTTTCCCTATTGGGCCCTGCCTTCTGCCCCCAGGGGGGCCACACTCGCTGTTTATACGAAATTGAGTCCCTTTTGCCCAAGGATGCTTCTGACCAAATATGGAACAAATCCTTTCATTCCTACAGAAGAAAAAGGATTTTAAAGAATTTGTTATATTTCCCCAATTGGGTCCTGTCCCTCAGACCCACCGTTTATACAAAATTGGTTCCCCTTCACCCAAGAATGCTTCAAACAAAATAAGGACCAAATCCTTTCATTGCTACAGAAGAAGAAGGATTTTAAAGAATTTGCTATATTTCCCTTCACCCAAGGATGCTTCTGACCAAATTTTGTCAAAATCTGCTCAGTCGTTCATGACTAGAAGCGTTTTAAAGGAAAAGTTGACGGACGGTATGGCTTAACCCTTCATGGTCCTTTGGACTATTGTAACTATGGACGAGCTTGACACTGCAAGTGTCGTGCAGAATGACACTAAGACTGGATTACAATATATACAAAACTTAATTTACAAAATATACACTATGGTTTTGTTATTTATAAGTAGTATAAACCCTTGCTTTCTCACTCTCACATAAAGTAAGTATAAACAGCAACATAAGAATCACACAAAGCAGATAGATGTACCAATACTATATTACACAGGTAACTATACACCAATACTACATTACACAGGTAACTATACACAAAAACTGACAAAGTCAATGTATAAGTCACTGTATGAAATCACTGCCTGGATACAGTGATCATGACAAGGTTCGTCCACCGCGGTCTGTAGTCCTCGGTCCCGTCTCTCCTATTTGACGACCTTAACCCTAACTCCTGTGCTGATGGGCTCACCAAAATCCATATGAGCTAAAAAAAAAAAAAAAGAAAAAGAAAAAAAAAAGCATAGGTAGGTATGATAGAAGAAAGGAAACAGTAATGAAGAGTGCATGAACAGATCCAAGCTAGCACCTAGAATCTAACATGTACCTTTGTACCTTATCAAATATTAGTATGTTATCATCTTGAGAGAGATTTTGGTCACCATAAATTAACCGTTCAGGGTTCAAATTAATATTAAAGGTACCTATGGTGTTCATTCTAGCTTGGTTAAAGAGCCTACACTACATCAAATAATGGGAAGGAGTTTCTACCTTCCCACATCTACATACATCTGTTTCTGAAACATGCTTATTATAGAGATGATAATTTAGGGAGCTACATATATCCAAGACAAAGTTTTACAGCATTGACCAGCTTCCATTCCTTTGTGATGATCCGGTATTCGTTCCATGCAGTGTCCAGTCGGTTATCCCTCCATCCTGAACTCGCCATGGATATTAAACTACATGCTCGTCTTTGATGCTTCAAGTACACCATAGGAAGATCTTTATACAAACTCAGCCTGTACCCTTCCGTGTTCCTTGTATCGTTCTGTGATGGGTTCCACTTGTTTCTCTGCCGTTGGAAGAATTAACTTCTTGCACTTGAACTCGATCACAATTATTCTACCGGAACGCTATGCTGGTAGAAATCTTTATTAAAGATTTTCCTGTTTTAAAAGTAACGTTAAATCGTCTTTATCGTCATACACTCTTTTTGTTTTCAAATTGCTATTATTGTGCGTGCTGATGAGCCACCTTTTGGCGCCCTCTAAACACCTGTTACTGTTGGTATAGTCTCATCTCGTTTAGGACAGGTTTTGAACTTCATTCTCGCCCATTTCACTGTCTCTTGGTAGAACCCATCTTACTTCATTAGTTCTCTTTGTTCTTAATACCATGTCATTTAAGGAGGCCCGAGTTTCCTGCTTATGTACTAACGTGGTCATAAAGGGCCATGGATAAAGTTTTCGTGTGACAAAGTGTATTTAAAAAAAAAAATCCCCTGAAAAAGCGTCTAACCGTGTTTGAAATCTGTTTCTAACATTGCTCTTGCGCACTAACGTATTATATACCTTTGGCCGTTTGGTAGTTCTAACCGCGGATAGTCTTATATCACCAAAATCTCCAATGATCTCGGAAAATTAACCGCTGTGTTCCATACAGTCATGGACCTCTGATATACGTTCGTTTTGCACTGTTCAACTGTCTGCCTGTTTCCGTCATCTCTACTCAGTAATTTCCACTACATCTGACCGATTACGACCGTTCCTGTACACGTTGTCCTATACTGAATGATGCTTTTAATCACAGTTTGCCTAGGCTTCATTGGTGCCAAAAGTCCTAGAAGCGTGAATTTTCTCAGTCTTTTCTTATGGGTAAACAATAATACAAAAATGTGTTTGCTTTTCTTCTTTATTCATCCATTCTTTTCGTTTCCTCTTGCCTTTTTCGACCCTTAGAGCATTAGACAAACCACCATATGCTGTTCAGACAGATGCTGTCCTTTTTTCGTCTTACTGGCTCTCTTTGTTTCCTTCCAATGATATCTCCTCGGCCTTGAATCGCTCCATCACTGTAGAAAATTTGGATTGCCTTTTTTTATATTTTTTCTGTACTTTTTAGATTTAATTAAAGCATTTAGCGCTGTCATTAGAAATCAAAGTACTGAAAGTACTGAAAGCTAAGGCAAAAGATATATTATTATTTTTGGAATGGAGAACAAAATAAAGACGAAGTTCCCATCATATTGTACAGAAGGATTTACTGTTAAGTTGTTATGAACCAAAGTTTTATGTAAAAGTGTACCACTGTGAAGTTATTCTTCTTGTGTGTACAGTATATCTTTATAGGTTTGTCAGAAGAGTGGTACCAAGTTTCCTCTAGAATATATCATTTTAAACCTTTGGATAATTAATTTGCATAGGAATTAGGAATTGCTTCCCTTTGTCCATACAATGTATTTCATAGAACATTAAAAACTGAAACTGGCATTTACCCCTTTGACCAATACCTGATTATTTTAAACCATTAAATAGATTATGCACAGATTGTGAACATCTTTGAACTTTGCCTTTGTTGTTGAATAAGATATCAACCCTTGCCTTATCTGACAAAGTTACTTGGCATAAAACCATTGACCAATCAGAGTACAGTATGCTAATTAATTAGGCATGGATTTCACTCAACTTTGAACTTATCGTCTAAGTTTGTATATTGATCAATATATATTCAAGCAAGTTATCTTGTAAAGTGTGCACATCGACCAGGGTTGGCATGCTTTTTAATACGTGTGAATTTTGTTCAAGTTTCAATTTTGCATCAGTCAGTGT